CTTTCACCACCTGCCATTTTCATAACTGAAGTTGGCTGGATGTCGTGAACTGCTCTTTTGTGAGTTTTTCACTCAGTGGGTCATTTTTATAAATCTCTGCTGTGCTGCACACCCAGAGCAATCTGAAATTATCTGTTTCACTGGCATCCCTTGCAATTTTTCATTTAAATGGAATAAATTAAGCATTTTAATTGCATCTGATGGAGAGGGGCAAATGTACGTTTTACTGAGCCTCTCAACACAAATTTACTAGATGTCATATTGCAGGTCACACATCCTGGCAAGAGTAGCTTGGATTACTACAGGAATGACAGCATGGTGCTGTCCCTGTGTGAGAACCCAGTGAACAACAGCACAGACTTCATGTGTGACAAGAGGCAGGTCAGGCAGTTTGCTCAAGCCTTCCTGCCAGTGTTTTTCTGGCTCATCTTCGCTGTGGGCACAGTGGGGAACACCTTGGTCGTGCTTGTCTATTGCAAATACCACTTCAGGAGGAGCATGATGGATCTGTACCTGTTGCACCTGGCCATCGCTGACCTCCTGCTCCTATTCACCTTCCCCTTCTGGGCCAAGGCTGCTTCCGACGGATGGATCTTTAAGGACTTCATGTGCAAAGTTGTCAACAGCATGTATAAGATCAATTTCTATGGCTGCAGCTTGCTTCTAACCTGCATCAGCTTTGACAGGTACATCACTGTAGTGCAAGCGATGAAAGCTAAAACTTGTAAGCGAAGGTGGCTCCTGCACAGCAGGCTCATGTGCCTGGCTGTCTGGCTGACATCTGTGAGCCTGTGCATCCCAGAACTCATTTACAGCCAGAGCACACAGGTGGGTGACATAACAGTTTGCAAAATTATGTACCCACCAAATGTCAGTGTGATCTTCAGAGTTACGGTCCTGGCCTTGAAAGTCATCATAGGATTCTTCCTCCCGCTCCTTGTCATGGTGATTTGTTATGCCCTTATCATCAACACCCTCCTACAGGCCAAAAGATTTCAAAAGCAGAAGTCACTGAAGATCATCACCATGATCCTCACCGCTTTCCTCCTCTCTCAGTTCCCATACAATATTGTTTTGCTGGTAAAAGCCATCAACACCTACACGGGGGTGGTGCACAGTTGTCAGGTTGCCAACCAGCTGGACATTGGGCTGCAGGTCACCCAGATCATTGCCTTCCTCCACAGCTGCCTCAACCCTTTCCTCTATGTCTTTGCTGGCGAGCGGTTCAGGATGGCGCTGGGCAGGATGATGCAAAGCTGTGGCTGCTGCTGGAGCAGGGCCCAGGAGCACACCTCTGCCTGTGACAGCCAGGAGCACAGCTCAAACTGGTCCTTTGCCATGCTGGGGGGGCGGCGAGTCAGGAATTCCCTGATCCTCAACACTCACTGGACCTCCTCTGTAATGTCCCCTCCATGCAAAGTCATCCTGTAAGTTAGTCCTCACCTTCTCCTCTCCAGAGAAGTACCAAGCTCTTTGGAAACCCTCTGTATACCCCAAAGATTATCCCAGAGGTGCAGAAAGGGTTGGGGACCTGCCCTTGATGTGTGGGAACCAACTGAGGGTTGCTGGCTGAGAGAACAGGAAACCTTTGGCAGATGGGAGCAAAATGGAACCATATAAACATTTATATGCTATAAACAGAACTGTCACAAAAAATATCTTTGTGACAGCTGGCCCATCTGCAGCTCAGACCACAACCTGAAATAACAAGTCTCGCAGCAGGTGATAAACCCAGCTACGGCTGCAACACAGGCAGATGAAGCTTTCTGTCCATAGGAAGCAGCAAGAGGGGGCCCAGCCTTAATTTGCTGTCACACCAGGTTCCCCTATGAATGTGGCCTGACTTGGGAGCCCTGCCAGATTCCTACACTAGATCCCGTCCTGTGTAAAGGAGAATGGCCTTTAGCTCTGACACTGGTTTGTAGCAGTGACCAAATGTTGCTCTCTGTGCCTGGGCAAATGCAACTCTGTTTGGCTGCATAGGTGTTTTTTCTTGCAAAGAAAAGCCAGTTGTTCATGTACATAAAATGGGCATTGCAGAATGTGGTCTGTCTTTTTCCTGTATTTTAGCTGTGTGATGTCAGGTATGATGGCTGGTGTTTTGATACTGGAAAGAAATCACACTTCACAATAATAAATAAGGGCTTTGGAGACATTGAGTTTTCTGTCCTGGGATATTTGCTGTATGGTGCAAAGCTGTCATAAACCAGAACAGAAAAACCAAACCCATGGTTCAGCTGACCACCAGTAATGCACTGGTATCTTTGGAAAGTATATTTAACCTAGGACCAGCAAGACAGGGAGTAATTAAGCGTCAAACCTAATGAAATTTGGAATGAGACATCAGGTTGTGGAGGCTGCTATTCCCAGAAGTGGTGTGCTGTAATGCATCCCAAAACCTGAGCCCACAGGGCATCATTTATCTGTTCCCCCTTGCTCATCCCCTCACAGGGACATGGCCTCACCTGTCCTGCCTGACCACAGCCTGCACCTCCCACTCTTCAATTGCAGGATGTAGTGCTCAGGAGGCTTTGTTTTAAATAATCTCATCTATACTGGTTTGCCTTCTGGTACTTAGCTCTTCCAGGGAAAAAGGGTTTTCATTGTGCATTTATCATTAAAGCATGTTGGTAAACAAGAGCTTTCTGCACAGTTTGGTGCTGCTTTTCTAGCTTATCAGGTATACCTAGGCAGATAGGGTTCAAGTTTCATATACATTTATTAGAATTTTTTTTTTACCTTTTCCTTAGAAAGAAAAATAGTCAAAGATGTATATAGTTTTCACTGTATGTATAAGAAGGGGGGGGGGGGGAATTGTAATTTGTGCTCAGCAAACAGAAGCCAAAATTAAATAAAGGCACTGCCACATACACCAAAGGGATGAACTGGTTGTTTCTTGCCCACACATCCTTCCCAGTTTGGATCCATACACATAACCTGTTTGCAATCACAGCATCCCTCTCAAAAGAGGCCAAAGGAAAACTTTGCTAAGAGGGTCTATTTCTAATATCTAACCCTTGTGGTGTGGAAGCTGCAGTTGATAACCCTGCAGGCACCAGAGCAGGTTTAGGCTCCTGAGGCGAGGGCTGGGGTGCAGTCTGGCGAAGCAGGGCAGGTTTCTGCAGTAGGGGAGGGGGGAGCACATTGGGGGCAGATGCTTCCCCGCAGCAGCTCAGCCCCACTACCCCTTCCTGAGGCTGGGGGTGATAGGGCTCTTAGAGGGTTCTCCTGGCCCCCAAAGAGCCCCTGAGTTATGCAAACAAATTAGTGTGCAAACCTTAGCTGCTGCAAGCTCCTCTTTTGTGCACTACATCTCACCAACCCCAGGAACCTGAACTTTGTGGCCATCTCACAGAAATAAAGCTTCTTCAGTCCCCAAAACACAGTGGGGAACATTCATGCTCAATCAGCAGGTGAAACTGCTGAGGGTAGTAAAACAGCAATTTTCAGCAGTTTGGGGTGACAGGGTTGTCCCGGGGTCATGCAGATCCTGCTCTGAGTCAGGCTGCTCCCATCACTGTGCCAGGGGAAGCTGGCAACCAACCTCCCTGGAGGTGGTTTTCCCTCCTGGGGTTGGTTCCACCAAGGCTGCCTGCAGTCCAGCAGCTGCTGGTGGCTCCCCAAGCTGCTCTCACACCACAAACTTGGGGGGAAGCTGCCTCTCTGCATCCCTCTGTCTGCAGCTTCATCAGCAACCCTTCTTGTTGGTCAGCACACAGCAGGGACTCAGTCATGGAGGTGTTTTCAGCCATTACTCCCTCCTGCATCTGCTGGGGGCCTCCGTCTGCCAGCAGCACAGCTCCTTGTAGTCAAACCCTTCTTGGGCTCCTCTCTCCCTCTACCCTGATATTTTACTTGATTTATCCCACCACAATCCCTCTTGTGGCTGGTTAGGGTGTCCCCAACCTTCACCAGATCCTCTCTTCCAGGATGGGAGGTTTCCTCACAGGCAAAGGAGCCTCCCTTGCTCCATGAGCAGTCCCAGGGGACTCTGCTCATGTTTTATGCACAGCTCTAGCAGGATGGGCACCCAGCAGTTGCTTGAAGTCTTGGGAGAGGCCTGAGATCTTCATAGCTTGGGTTCCCTCCCTTCTCTTTGAGGCCAGTTTTTCCTAGATGTTCCCAGTTTTGGGCTGTAGTTTCCTATGCTGTTGCTGTTCCTCGAAGAGGCAGCTGGGCTCGTCCCTGCCCCAAGTGCTGCGTTGTCACCGTGGAGCAGGCAGTCACGCAGCGCAGCACCAGCCTGCTTGTGGTACAGAGGGAGGAAGCTGGAAGAGCCATGGGCAACTTCCACTCTCTGCAGGCAAACCTGCCTACCTGGTGCCTGCTCTCCCAAAACAGAAATGTCTTTATAAGAAGTACCTCTTCCAGAGAGCAGGGAAATAATGGAAGGGTGTGAAAGTACAGGCATTTTACTATATTTGGAGTTCAAAGCATCCCTGTGACACTTCAAGGACTAATGCAGAGAATATGACAGCCTTGCAGCAGCTTCATGTTGTCCCCCCAGAAAAATGCTATCCTGTGTGTGCCAAGGTCTGTTCTTGGGGCACAGACCGAGAAAAATAAGGCAGAAGTAGGGTTGGGAGAGCCTTTCCCTTGCACCAAGGGAGGGGATATTACCCAGGATGGATAAAAATGCACTACTGGAGATGAACACAAAGACTTTAAATGGCTGCAGCAGTTCCCTGCAGAGCTGAGGAGGTACAGCAAGGTATGGTCGCTTACACATGTACTGGCTATATGTAAAACTCACTCTTTGCGGGTCCCTCATACTCTAGATTAGGCTTTGCTGGAGCCTCTCCTAGAGGGAAGCTTCTGAATGTGGAGCCAGGACTCCAGATGCCTCTGGGGATGCTCTGAACCTTCTATTGGTAATTTTAGCTTTGAAATGAGGGGATGGAACAACATAAATTTCATAAAACCCCAAGTAGATTATATAATTATCAGATTTATCTTCCACACAATGCTATCTCTACAAGGCAAAAAAGGGACAAACATACTCAGTGATAAAGAATTTTATTCTTAAATTCCTGAGGTTAAAAAAGGAAAAAAAAAGCATCAAGAAAAACATTCCAACACAACCATTAACATTTCTGTAACTGTACAGACACTGGTATACATGATTTTTCCCATATCTGGAGTAGGAAGTTTGATGTGAACAGGGCTTGCAATTCTTTGGCAGTTAAGACCAAAAGATGCTTCTGAACAAGTTACAACCTCAGTGATTGAGCATAATTAAAACTATAGTGCAATTTCAGTTTTAGGAAAGAAGTCAGGCTTTTGTAGCTTTGCTATTTTTTAATGTGGTACACTCTTGTGCAATACCTCTTTCATTTTTCATAAAGAAACATTGAGTAATGTTGAGTAAAGGAACACTGTCATTTTCTTGAAGAAACTACATTCTTTCCTTCGCATAAACCTCTTTGTAATAAAAAAATCTTACCCTCCATATCTCCTTATCCTTTCCAGCACCCAGAAAAGCATCTAATTACTTATGCTAACCACAATGCATAATCTCAATGTCCTATGAATGTGACATCTCCTTAAATTAATTTCATGATCAATTAAAAATATTTTTCTCTTTATTGCATTCCTGCAGGTAATAAAAAGCCTAATTCAACAAATCACCTGAGCACCTATAAATAAGCAGATTTTTCAGCATTGCTGGCATAGCTCACATGAACAAGAATTTTATGAATGGAAGAATTAAGTGCTTGAATGAAATAATCTCTTGTACAAGCCTGCCCTTGTGCAAAGTCCTTTACTGGGTTTCCATGATTCCAGAAATGAACTATCTGGGACATTTAAACAAAAGGTCTCTACTAATGTCAGGTCCATTACTGTCGCTGCACAGCCTCTTCCAGCAGTTATGATGGGATTACTGCTCCTGGGAAGCTTCTTTGAACAGCTGCACTCCTGTCCACTTGCAACTTATCAGCCTGATATTTCATCATTTGAAACTTTTTCTCCTTAAGGATTGTCTTTGGCCAGAAACAAACATTTTCTTTTCATCTTTAAACTACAGGTTCTGACTCCCACTCTTGGTCCTCTTTCAGAGAGAGAAAAAAAAGCAACAAAATTGTTCTCAAAGGGCAGGAAAACCTGAAGAAAAGGGACCACAAAGACTCAAATGCTAAACGAGAACAATGCAGTGGATTTACTCCCCTTCTCTCAAACATTGACCTCAGCCAGTCTCAGGACTGTCTACATAAGAGACCTCCAGAAAAACATCTGGCTTACTACATGGAGACAATTATTTTGAGACCTACATGAACAGGGGCTTAAAAATATTTGCCACAGGATAAAAAAATGTCAAGAACTGGATGCGGAGAGAAATCAAGAAGCAAGGGTGTCAAATTATTTTTAGTAGAGAGATTTCAAATACTTTTTAACAGAGATGTCATATTTTGGCTGAAGATACTTGACAGTGTCCCTTTACCTTACATTTGGCATGTTAGAAAGATACCCCTGGTGTTAGGGATTCTAAGTAAAATTAGTATTCTAAGTAAACAACAGCAAAATGTTTTTAAAAACCACACTTAAAAGCTTAAAAGAAAACTGCAGCAGACTTCAGTAACAGCTCAGTGAAATTGCATAGCATATGGTACACAGTACTCCATTTTTAAGCAATAAATAATATCTTCTTGCCTAATTAAATATAAACATAGCTTCAAGATTGAAATAACCTGTAATTCGTGAACTGATCCACACCATTTATTGCTGTTTATTGCCCACATCAGCCTCTTGTCCATCTCATTTTCATGCACACAACCAGGTCAGGGCTTAACTACACTGCAGCCTTCAGGGGCTTGCACCTTCCACTGACCACTCTGCCTGGCAGAGGGTTGGGAGCACACCACCACCATGGGGAAAAAGGCAGCTGAAGGCAAGGGAACGCTATTGATGAGCTAGAGACCTAAATCCTAGGTGCTCCATGAAAAGTAGTCATTCTTTCACAATCTTTTTCAGGATCACTGTATTATAGATTGTTAACAACTGGAATAAATGATGAGCAACCTTTAGCTTTAACTGCAATTATTTTCTTTTCTATGATCAGAAATTTCCCTCTGCCTCAGCTGCTCCTGTGTAAATGTCCAACACTTGGTTGGTGATCTCCACCTTTTAAACAACCAGTCCTTTGGGGTGGGAGATCCCTTATGGGTATTGGATTGGACCAGCAAAACATAAACACCAGCCGGCATCTCCTGACCACCTTCCCTGCCTGAGCTCATCCCTCCTATTCCCTCTCCTTGCTTTTACAAGTTTGCCCCTTTCCTCTCCCCAAACCATTTGCTGCAGTTTATGCCTGCCCTTTTTTTTCTTTCCCTTCATGCTTTATTTCCTGTCTCCCACCAGGACCCCTGTATGTCAGCTACAGCTGGCATCAAGTCTCTACAGGGTTCCTCACAGGTTTTGCTGGTCTTCTACCAACTGCTGCACTAAAACCTTTCAGGTCTGAGGTTTCTTGGGAGAACAGTAATATGAGAAATCAGACACACTTTAATTACGAGGAGGGCTGGTTGGGAGAAAGAGCTTTTCTTCTTTCTCCTGCCAAATGTTTTGCCATTCTATTGGAAGACAGGTTTTTTTGTACAGAAAAATCCACTTTCGGGTATTTTGACAAAAAGCTGAAATTCTATATGGAAAGCAGATGGTTTGCATAGAAATTTTGTATAAGCAAGAACGCAGTCTTCCCTTAAAAGGCAGTGTAACAGCCCACAAATCTGAGATGGAAAGCTAGCAATAGGTTAGGGCAAGTGCAAGGCTTAGGAAACGGACAGAATGCACTAACACCACTGGGTGGAGAGCTCACCAGGCCTGGATATGAATTCCATTTTGGATGGACATTTTGAGACCTGTTCAAACATTATTGCTGCCTTCCACTTGGTCTAGAGAGAGAGAGACGTTGCTGATCTCCTCAGAAACTGTGCTTTCCTGTGAAGGCTGATGACTAAGGTGCTAAGGCAGGAAAAAGGAATGCTCCTCTTCCCAGTATCACCCAGTGAGCAGAACTTTATTCCACAGGGGATGTTCTGTGTTCTGCCACTGGTGCTCACCATAGGAACTGGGTTCTGTGGGCCAACGTACAGAACACGGTGAGCCAAAGTGAAAGGAGTTGCTGCTTCGTGCTTATTCTTGTGTAACTGGTATTCAGTGCCAAAGCATTGGAAAGAGCCAGTTAAGACTTACCAAATCTTAGCCCAAAATATATAAAACTCCTATGGTTTGCTGCTTATAAAACTTGGAAAAGATAAAAAATTCTAGATGGATTACAATAATTGTGAAGACTGAAGTATTGCATAATTGCTGCTCTGACTGTAAGAGTGGTACAGCAGAACAGAGATGGTTATGTTTACACCTCAGTGAAGAGGTCAAAATAGGCATTTTTCTTTACATTTCCTTTTGAAGGATATTTTTGGAAGAAAAAATCACTCAATTTTCAGCAGAGAATTTCAGTTTGCATTTAGATACCCACACGCTTATTTTTCTCCCCACTGAAAAAAAATTGGTTATTATTGACCTGTTAAACCAAACAACATGGCTTTTCAGCAATCTGTACACAGTACAGAACCATTAGTGTTCCTGAAAAGGCTTCTGTTTTTAGTGTACACATCTCCTCTTAAGTGCATTAGAACTATTGCATAGTTTCAAAGTCTTCAAACACAGTGGTAATCAGAATGCTTACACATGTACATAAATAATAGCATATCTTAAAAATTTAATTAAAAATACACAGTATAGTAAAGGCTATGGAAAATCACTTCCATCATAGATGACAGGTCGCTCAACAGCCAAGTGATAAAACACTCTTTTTGAGATAAACCTATTAAGGAAAGAAACAGAGCAAAAAGATCACATTAGCTGAAGCCAACAAAGAGGGGAAGCCTTAAAAATGTATTCAGTCTTTTAATTCACTGCTGTCAAAAATATGCCTGTGCAAGGGCATCAGGCATGTTGTTAAAAAGATGACAATCCTGACTGAACTGTCTTGGAATGAGTCACCAATGACCTGCTTACTTCTGTTAACCCTCCCAGAGGTTCAGAAAGAAGAGCAGAATTCTGCTGTGGGGGTAGGAAAAAAAACCCAAACAAGAACAAGAACCAAAACTCAGTCTTGAAGACCTCTTGGCAAGCGAGGAAAATTTTCTTATACTTAGTTCTGAATGGCAGAATAATGGTACACATTATGATCAGTTCCACAGCCTGTAAAACCAAGCTTATTTCACCTTTTATGCCTTTCTAGGACCTACCTAGAGAATGTGTTGTCAAATATCAGGGTGTAGATTCCAGTGTTTCTGACTTTCACCTGTCCTCTGATAGTTTCCTTATGAGAGTTGCAGCGAGTCATAGGGATAAGAACCTGGAATTCAATACAAATCAAAATGAAGTTTGCTATTTGCCCTATAAATTGGCATTTTCTTTCATAAAGCCTTGATTTCAGCCACCTTGAAAGTCCCAAAGTGCATCTATGCCTATAAAACTAATTACTCTGATTAGCATTAAGAACTCCCCGAAACAAAAATCTCACAGTGAGACATCTGTTTTCCTTGGATTATATCTTTACAGCACTAACCTATAGCTATTGATCTCTGCTTTAGAGATAGAATAAATTCCTGAACTTTTAAATGTTAATCTAAGAAACTTTAATAACTTAATCAAGTGGTATATTAAATCCATATATCCAAGAGCAGGATTTAGCTAAATATATCTTTTAATATACGTTTTTATACTCCCTGTGTTATAAAATAAGCTTTCTCAGCAAATCTGTATTTTTTATCTGAGCTTACAGCAAAAAATGTGTGTATCTGTGGTTCTATGTGAGTCTGGCTGTAAAACCCTAGCACAGCTGTCAGAAGAGCAGCTGACATAGATCAAGGATGACCCTATACAACACAAAGTTTTACCAAAGAAATATATCAAGACAAAAGCAGCATTCACACTTCATTCAGCTTTCAGATTAGGAAAAAGAGATATGTTACATGGAGTTAATAACTGTGCAGTGAATTAACACAAGCTATATAAATGTCTTATTCCCCCAGTTAATCACAGCCATAGAGTTCACCCTACCACGGTGAATTAAACTAACAGCTGCCTTGTCTTCAGCAAAACTTTGCAATTAGTTGAGTAAAATAGATTCACCTAATCTGTAATACTAATGAAATATGGACAGCACATATAAAACTGAGTACCTTGGGCACTGGCAAAGAGATTTTGCACACCATCCAGACACTTAAGTAGATTTTGCACACCATCCAAACACTTAAGTATATGCTTCGTTGTAAGAAATGTAGGTAAACCAAGAAATGAAACTGTTTCCCTGTGGCTTCTTCTCAAGAGCCTGGCAAAACCAGCCTTAAAGAGTTTACAAACTAAGTGAAATTGAAAAAAAAAGAGAATTTTGCATACTTGGATGTTCAATTCTGCTTGATAATACAGGGTGAATTTCAGATGCAACCAACAGAAGCTACAGGGCTTTTCAACTCAACTGTTGCTGGCAACATTAAAGATGTAGCTTTGCCTTTAGCAGAACTGCAGCTTAACTGGAGAAACAAATCCTAAATGCATTAGCAAGTGGCATTCTGGTGAAGACCTCCTAGCAATACTTGTCAATTCCTGTAGGCTGGATGAGTGTAGAGCAGTACAACCTCTGAGGTAGTAAGGAGACAAAGGCCTTACTTTGCACTGATCCAGTGGCGTGTCTTCGGCCTCTTGGTAGACAACACTGAAGGATATGCTTTTGGGGTCTGATGAGAAGATCCAGCTGATGGTTAGTCCCATCTCTGTAACAGTGATGGGAATTATACTGTAGGTGCTGGATTTGATGAACAGCTCTCTGTTGCTTTCTCCAAAATTCATGATCTCTTCTACTGTAAGGGGTAATTTCACCCTGTGAGGGAGAAATATATGATTACTTGAAGAGATCCAATCCACTTACTCAGACAAAACCATTAATCATTGATTTTTATTTTCCATCTATTTCAGGTAGACTCCACAGTGTATTTGGGACACATCCAGAAAATGCATGAAAAATCAGCCTCAGATGAAGGCAAAAGCTACAAAAAAGCTGACTGATATTGAGAACCTTTACTGCTCTGGCACAAGTGGATTTTGTTCACTTATTTATCTCATTTCAACTGAAGAAAAACAGTGCTGGAATAAAGTTTTTAGAATTACTACTGATAAGAAAGGAGTGCCGCCCTCTACTGTTCTTTTTAAACAAAAAGTAAGTGGCCTGGTTTATTCACCTTCCTAGTTGAATATAAAAATTTGCACAGGAAAACAGGAGGGATCAGGATTACAGGTGGATGAAATGTGAACAGCAGTTCTGTTCTGAAATGCTTAACACATCTGAGTCTGTTTTACCCAACTAAGCTGCAAAAAAACTGACTCAAAATACTTCCAGTTAAAAAGGAAATTCTTAGCATCTAGATGATGCTGAGTCCTACAGCATTAGATGAGCTGACTTCATTCTGGTATCTGCTTAAGACTGTGATCAGTGAGGCCCTGAAGCAGGAGAACACTGGTTACTTTCTTCAGGGGAAACCTGCAATTTCTAAGATCTGTGGGATCTCACCTACATTACCCCAACTAAAACTAATCTCATCTGTCACTTTTCAGGCCAAAAAAACTGTTTGCAAATCAATGAGATCAGTGTAAACCACAGTCCTGTCCTGTCTCAGGTGATCTTTGATTTTAATAAACTAAATATCATTCTTGGTTTTGCCTTACAGCCCAGCTATGATTCTAGTTACTGCTTCATTTACCTGGATCTCTGAACAGCAGCAACAAGGTTGAAACATGGACTGATTTATCTCCTTGCAGTCAAAAGTTTAAAACCTTTCCCATAACTAAGGCAAAATTTCAAAGCTAGGTTAAGGGGACAGTGAGCAAAAGTGAATTTCTCTAAGTCATGTGCATTTCCCCACATTGGATTCTATTCTTGGCTGTGCAAGACATGCTGTATCACTACTGCATGTAATTAGGAATTTCAGAGCAGGACACCTGCAGAGAATTGTGCGCACACAGAGCTTGAGCTGAGGCTTAGATGAACATTCATGCAATGGCGTGTATCAACCAGAGCAGGAAAAACAGATTCTGGGAAGCCACCAATAAATAACAGATACATGCTCCAAAAGGCCATGAATTCCTTCCCTTTGGCAAAGGTCCAACTAGAGCTGCATTCCCTGACTTGCCCTTGCAGTTTCTTTCAGAGACTGTTAGAACTGCACTGCCTTTTCTCTAAATTCCCTTTGTGTTGATAGCAATTCCTGTAATAAAAATAGGAAATGTTTTCTCATGTGATTTGGACCTGCATCTTTCCTTCTTATTTCCCCGTTGCACTGGGACTGAAGAGAGAGGACCTGGCTCATTGCTGCTCTGGGTGGTTGAGTTACACCCTCTTATCCCACTCAGACCAAATTCTACTATGGGACACAAGTGAGCAGCTCTTCCAGGAGCCTGCAAGGCTTGTGCTCACATATCTGAGCTCAGCCTTTATGCTTTCACCTATAGCAATGAAATTGTTCTGCTTACATAATTTCTCCTGACTTCAACAAGCATATCTCAGCATCTTGAGCAACTTGCCAGTCTTCAGATTCATCGAAAGTTGAAGAATTACCCGTGCTGTTTCTAGAACAAGGAAAAGAAGGAAAATTATGATTATCTGAGCAGTATGTGATCACATAGAATCTGCATGCTGAATCCTTCCTATAATAGAAATGTTTTGATAGTCCTGATACCAAATTCTAGGATTCTTAGTTGGCCCATTCTAGTGAGAAAACTGGGCAAAACCACAGCCCCCTTCTGCTCATCACTGTGCACAAACATAAAATTGTTTTTATCCTGGTTTCATGAGCTAAGGGGAATACATATATACATCCAGAAAATCTTTTCTGCAATCATAACATAAATTTCTTATTGAGATGATGACAGGTTTTGAAGATTCTCTGGCAGGTGGGAACTTCAGGGGCAGACACAAGCAAAACAGTCTCCACTTGTCCCTTAAACAAAGCTTGCAAAAGGATAAGATGTCTCCCTGGATTAACCTGGGAGGTGTTTTACAGTCATATTATCCAATTCCTTACTCTGACAACTGTACACAAAACATAGTCTATGGCTGTAGAATTGCTACCATGTGTCTTCTTTTCCTACAAAAACTACTGCGTGATTCAAACACAAATACACCAAAGATACTGTTACAAGATGACAAAGCAGTATGTTTCCTCCACACCATGATGTGTCCCAGTGAGCAGTGAAGCAGAGGGAAGAACCTGCTATTCACTCCTTACCTCAAAAAAGGTGTATGCTCAGGGTGAACACTGGACTAGCACTAGGCATGAATTATGGGTCTGGACACAGAGAGAAGGATGAGTCTGAGAGTCAGGAAACAAATGCTGATAGTTTCCAAGTTAGAGCTTCTCTGACTGATTCTTCTTTTGTTTCTCTGCATTCCAGCAGTTTGAGAAAATTAAGCTGTTGTTCCCAGAAAAAAATGCCAAGGATTCTTATTTACAGGGAACCAGCTGGTTGGTTCCTTCTAAAAATCAGTGGAATCTAATAAAATGTTAATACCATATCTGCTTCTGAACCATCAAGTGCAGTAATGCCCCAAGAGAGCGTAATTGCCATATTTGCTGTTGATCAATTCTCAAAACTAATGCACAGTTTAGCATTTTCTTTTAAATCCAATGTGATATTGCTCTACAAGCAGCATTGCTGAGCAGAAGAGCATGAGAAAATATCTCCTTCAGGTGGTCATAAGCAGCATCTGAAAATACTGTGTCAACAACATGCAATCACATGCCAGTGCAGTGACATTATGGTTTGGAAACAGGACAAATTTACTGCAAATTAAACTGCACCCACTGTCTATACATTTCCTGAACTGTTATCTTGATATTCCTGTTCTTTTATCTTTGCAGTCTCTTGACTAACTCTTGACTTCTTCAGTCACACCACTACTGTTAATACCCTGAAGTGACAGCTGGGATGTGCATGGGAGACTCAAAGCTGTAATAAGTGCCAAAACCTGAGCTGTACCCAGACACAAGGAATGTAGGCATGAAGTACTTACTATGTTTTGGTCCATAAAGGTTAGTATAATATCTGTGCAAATACTTACTGATACAAATAACTTCTTGTTAACTATCTTTATATAACCAGATAAGAGAACTGATTCTGGAAAAAAACCTCAAACCAACAAACTAGAAAACTGAACTATAGCTTGTAAACCTACACATACATTTTGCTTGCAGAGTGGGAAGAGCAACCAGCTTCATGCTGTGATCCATGTAAGTCTCCCATCCCACCAGGTTAGCTAATTTCACAGCCTTGAATTCATGCAGAACAAGAGAGCTACACAATTACAGGCAACTACACCATTCAGAAGTGTCAAACTCTGTGATTTACTACACAATGCCATTAGAGTTCTTGATTTAGTCCATTAATTTCATCTTTCATTTGGAAACCTGAAACGTAAATTAAATCCCAGGACCAATATATGTTTGTGTTCTCCTCTAACACATGATTTTCCTTACTCCTGCTGTAACCCAGTACATGGTTAGGTGGTAACCTTTCCACTTGGCTCTACCCACCAATACCTTCACCACACATCTAAGGTTAAGGGCGTGCTAAGTCTCCTGATTTGTGTATTAAACCAAAATGCCTTATAATCACAAAGAAAATCCTCCTTCTCTTTATGATATCTCACTGAATCTAACAGTCTAAACTAAGGTCTCGTAGGCTATAATATAAGAAACAGTATCATGATTCAACTGGAGCATTTTTCCCCTGACAAGAGAATTTATTCTTGCATGACCCATTCACCTTTTGTGTTAGCACTAAGGATATTCCTACAGTCTGCCAGGTCCCCAGATTATGAATATGCAGCCTCTGGTGTATCTATTTAAACAGTCTGTATTCTTTCACTTCTTCTTCTTTTTAAAAGTGAAATGAAGTGGGACTAAAAGCAGAAAGAAGTGAAACATGGAAAAGACACTACAGCAAGAAGAGAACAGCTCTGATTCAGCAAAGCCTCAAGATACAGATTGTTGGAAGCTGATAAAACATTTCGAAGAATTATTGCTTCATGCTGGTCTTGCTCTTATGCAATTCCTCAGGCACCTGCTGTTGGTCACAGTCCCTAAGGTCCCTAAGCCTTGCCCACTGTGCCTGTTCTTATACATGGATAGCATTTCTTACAAATTATACTGAAAATACTGTGGCCAACATCATAAATGGCTTGGGGAGTTAAAAGTTAGAAGTCACTTTTAGAATTAAAACTTGGAAAAAAGATGGTTCAAATCTAGACTCAGCAATTTTCTGTTTTCATAAACACCTGAGCTCTGACAGCTGTAGCTACATGTCAGAGGTGTTGGCTTCATGTGGCTGAGCAGTGAAATCCCAGAAGCCATCTGCCTGTCAGCAGTCCAGTGATTTCTGGAGAGAACTTCTGTCATCCAGGTGAGAGTCTTACCGAATTGTGTGAAAGGCAGAAACCTGAAACGGAGACTGGAGGCTGTACAGAGCCCCTAACAGCTGCTTAGCCCAGCAAACACATCTGAAAATGCAAAGAAACAATCAAAGGCATTATGCTGAAGTGCACCAATGATTCCCTGGGCCTGCTGTTATCTAGCAGGTCAGACCCACCCCAGGCACCCTAACTTAGTTATTAGCCTTCCTCTCCAACCCAACAGAGAGCAGTAAAAATGGAAAGAGCACAGCAAAGGATCAGAAGAAAGGATACCACAGACAGCCTTTGACATGGGCAAGAAAAGAGGAATGATTTGGGATGGAGCAAGGGGGATACAGAGCTCACTGAGTTTTTAACAGGGTGCAAGACAGTGTCTTGCGTGAAGTTGTATGGGTGGGAAAGGGATGGAAGTGTTAAGGGCAAACCCTGGCATATGTTGAGATGGGAAAGCATCACACAGACAATTGCAAAACTACACAGAAAAAGATGGATGGACATGAAGATCCATCACTGTGTACAATGGGTGAGATGCTTACTGCTATAAATGAAATCTCAGCTATTTCTCAAAAAAGTATCTATGACTTAGTTATGCCACATTCTGTATGAAACAAAGACAAACAACCAACAAACAATACAAAAGGGCTCCCCAGTCTTAAAACTGGACACACTCTATCTTCAAGACAAGAAACAATACAGAGAAAGCAAGATAGGGAAACAATCATGACAAAGGAATCTTTCTGTGCTCCGAATGACAACATGCAAAGTATGTTTTATTTTTTAATTTGTTTTGTTTTGTTTTGTTTTTTATTGTGATAGGGAAGATGTTTGGCAAAGGCTATGAGATGAAGATAGCTTTCAAACACTGCATTTGCAAAATGTTCAGAACAAGCAGTTAGGGATTACCAAGGTGCTTTCAAGTTCCCTTCCCAGCAGGAGGCAGCAAACAGACGACTGGAAATCAACATTAAAAATACTGACAAGCTGTTGCCAGTATAGCCCAAATACTGCAGCCTGTAGATCACCAAGGCTACAACCACCTCTGTGGGTAACACTAGTTAAGATACCTTTGAATTTTCTTTTCACACAGTTCTTTAGAGGCTGTTAAGGGAAACTGAGGCAGAATTATAGGAGAGATATTGCAAAAGCAGTTTCTGGCCTGAGTTTACACCAGTATCCATCAGGAGCCCCATGTCCTTTCAGCAGAGCTCCTGCCCAACCCTCCCTGCCCAGCCTGTAGCTCCACAGAGGCTGCTCCATCCCAGAGCCCGCAGGTTCCATGCAGCCAGGGTGGTTTCTGCACCCAAGGTCCTTCACAGCTCTACAATCAAATGTTCTTCAGACTGACTCATCCAGGAGTAACAGCTACTCTCTCAGCCTACTCCCTATACGGGATAAATTCATACAATCCAGATGTTAGCACACAGTTTAGCCACTGCTGTGTCATCCTCATACCTTATTCTGCATCTCAAAATGACTGATAAAAGCAGGTGGTTATCACAACGTATTGCTCCCCTGTTTGACAGGAACAGTTTGTGAATATTTAGCACCTTGCTCCCAGTTTGTTTCTTAGAGGCAGAGAAATTTCTATCACATGCAATGAAGCACAAGGGAGAACTGTTTTAAAAAGCATTACACAGCCTTACATTTCTTGTGTCAGTAGTGTTCTTTCAATAAATGATGCTGCAGAAGTAAGACAAATTTGGTGCTGTTTTTCTTCATATGCATTTGCAGGTACCAAACACAAGCAGCCAGAGATACAAGCTCACTGCTCTACAAATCAAAGTCCCAGAAGCACTACAGCTATGGTAGCACAGGCTGCTGCAAAGATCCGCCTGCATGGGCTTTTTTCTCTTAATAGAGCTTCCCTCTCTTGCAGAACCAAGAGACACTCAAACTGCTGTACATTAGAACTCACTGGGTGAGGCCTTTCAGGTAATCTTCAATCAGAGTTGAGTTCTGCTAATGTTATGGTGAGTAATATCTTGTAGTAGGATTAATCTCGCAGAAACATGGTTTTTGTAGCTCAAAAGAGAGGGCGTTTAGCTTTTGGGCTAAATCTTTAAAAAGCCAATAAACCTATCTTACAAAAGACTTAATTTACCAGGTAAACAGCTTGCAAAGATCAGTAGTCTTAGGGCTGTTACTTTTATGTGCTGGCATCAGCCCTGACTGAAGTTAAATTGAGTTGAGGAGAGGCTTAAGGGGTTAACACCATCAGCCCTTGAGAGGGAGTGTGATGGAAGGGGCTGACAGAGGACTGGTCACTCCTTCTTCTGAAAGTAATACAAATGTAGTGCATCAACGAAAATCCTCCATCTTTCAGTAAGTCACTTGAAATGGGGAAAGGAAAAAGTGCTGCCATCTGATGATGTGACTGATATCTGAAGAACAAGATGAGGCTTAACTGAAACACAGGTTCCAAAGTACTCATTGAGACTCAAACCCTGCCTTTTGGGACAGGTCCAACCCAAGCCAAACAACTCTGATGCTCAGAGTCTGCAACCTGAGCCTAAATGGTAAATTTGGCAAAACAAATTTTATTTCCCTCATGGGTTTCCCCAGAAACCTCAATCCAAGCACTAAATCAGGGATGTATTAGAAAGCTTAATCCTTATACTGTTTTCAGAAGCCTCTTTGTAATTGTCTTTTGAGTATGCTTTTGAGTCCCCATCAGTATAAATCTGGTAACAGATGATGTGTTCAAATCCCCCAGCTGTTGTGCTTGGGTCTTGACTGTCAAGACAATCCTCTTCAGCAAATAAATTGATTTGCTTTTGTCTGTCATGGATGCTTTACTACAACTCCTATCTGTTAGCACTTAGGATTTTGTCTGTCTCCTGGATGCATTAGGATTTAATTATTTGCTGAGTAAAAAATCCCAATATGTCTCCTTCCAGGCTGCCTTTAAAAAGATGGCAACATGGCAACTACAGATACTGCTGACTTTTATTATAACTTCTCCATCACTGACCCCTATAAAAACAGAAATGAGAATTTTCATATTAATAAGTCTTCCTGCCAAATACGTATTTTGTTGTTTTCATCCTTGGCCTAGCAGGAAATGCACCGGTCTTTGTCATACTAAGTTTCTACATGAAACTGAAGACACTGACAGAAACTGATAGCTGAACCTGGCTACAGCTAAGTGCATTTTTCTTTGGATGCAGCCACTCTGGGCATACTCTGCTGCTCAAGAGTGGATTTCAGGCACTGTGGCATGTCATGGGGCTTGTACACACTTCAATGTTAACTCTAATGCCTATCACCTTTGACCAGCTTATTGCTGTTACTTTTGCCACCCAAGCACATGTGTCAAACCAAACAAATGATATGGGGCAAATTAATCTCTGTCTTGATCTCACAAGCATTTGCTGCACCACACTTTGGTTTTTGGGAGGTGTTAATTTTGATAAGGCAATATGTCAGGAAGAATAACCAAACTGTTGCACGGAACTGGTTCTTGAAGTAATCCAAGTGACTCTTGCTTATTTTATTCCCATGCTAACCATGATCATCTGCTAGTCACTAATTATTAAAACCTTACTGTGTGCTAGAAGTCTTCAAAAGAACAAATGTATAAAAAATATTTTCTGTACTTGTCCTCTTTATTTTTACCCAGATACCCTATACTTTCTTCAGATTGATAAAAATCACAGACTGGAGATTTAAATTGAACAGCAGCTTTGAATATGCAATTACCATAAGAAAAGCTCTTGCTTATTTTTATGCCTGTCTTAACCCGTTATTTCTTCACGGGAATGAAAGTCAGGGAGTACTAACACAAAGTTATTAAAAAATCAAGATGTGCCAAATGGCAAGTTACAGCTCAACAGTGGCAAACCACCGAAGAGGAAGACTCTAAATCTTTTACTGCTTTATATAGTGCAGATGCCACAAACATGTACCCACTATAAAACTGCCTGGAAAATCTGGGAACTCTTTTTCAGCTTCTTTTTTTCTGTTTGTTTTGTTTGCAAATACTGATGTAGGGAGTCTGAGTGAAAGAGGAAATACCATTAGTAAAAACACTGTGATCAGCTTAGAACCAAACTATTTTCATCATGATACTTCATTGCTTCCTGCTTTTTCAGTCCAAGCTGGTAACTGAGTTAACAGTGAAGAAGATCTCAGAAAGTATAAAAACCAATGAGATAAAATTCTATTTTTCATAAAGGTAATTTAAATTTCCTGACTCCCAAACCTCTGGCCTGCTGGTTTTCTATGAATGATGTTTATTTTATTGAAAGCTTTTATGAGTTGTTTCAAATATATTACATATTTTATGTAATACCTTCAGCCCATTCATTTAATGAGAATTCCTGAATTTTAAACATATATATTTGAATCTTCATGCTGGGTTTCCTGTGTGGTTGGGTTTTTTGGATGTTTTGGGGTTTTTTTTCCATCTAGGACAAGGTTTGTACGCAAAATCCTTCAGCATTCATCTAAAATTTCTGTAATAAAGCAGCATTTTCATCTGCCTTTCACCCGCTATCAGGTTCACAGTCTGAATGTCCCATACACATATTTGAATCTTATATCTGATAACAGAGCTCATGTTGCCAGATTACCAGGGCCCTTGTGAACAGCCGGAATATCATATCACACACACGGGCTCCAACACTGAGCAGTGTTTCTGTAGATGCAAACTCTCACACCCTGATTCCCCACACATTCTTTGCATTATGACATCTTTCCAGTCTGTTTTTCCTGGCACCTTGGTTCCCTTGTCATGAAACTGCAGATTTCTTGGTTGTTTTCCAACCTTGTTCCACCAGTTCTCCCTTTCCACCTCTGGTCTTTTCACTTCCAAGCTGGAGGGAAAAGATGTGCAGGGGGAAGAAAAGTGTGCAAAAGCTCTTAAACAAAGTAGTAGAGCAGGTGTGGAGACTGGAACAGGGAAAAGAAAGAAGGGATGCTGCAGAGGAGCAAAGGGAGGACTTTATACAGCTGTGGGCTGCTTGCAATAAAGGCAGCGTTGGGTCCAGCCCAAAGGGTCAAAGTCCTTTGCATTACAGCTTTGAAATACCAATTTTAACTGCTTCAAACCATTCTTGCTAAAACCACACTGCCTGGATGTTCCTTTACTCCCCATTAATACCCGGGCCTTCCTATCAGAGCATCGCTGCTCAGAGGAACCTGACCCTTTTTGGCAGCAGTGTGCCTATCTCACCACTTTTCCCTTTAGGAAACAGCTCCTTAGGCAATCCTTTCCTTACTACACAATCTCTTGTTTCTCCCACAGTGAAATATCCTTAAAAATAAAGTTATGAAGCAATGTGGTGTGACTGCATGTGTAAAGGTGCCATCTCAACACACAGCTGCAATGCAGGCTTTACCAGCATAGGGTGGCAAGTGGTGCTGCTGTCCCCTCTCCTTCCTGGCTGGTTCTGCGTGGGGCAGGGCACTCTTCAGACCACATTCACTTCCCCCTTTCGGCCACACTGCACCCTGCCCAGCCACGTGAGTTGTAATTAGGCCAGCCAAGAGTGTTATGAGTCATCAAGAAAAATCCAATCCAAACCAAAGCAACCACTGTGCAGACAGGCTGAGATGTTCTTTCTACCACTACCAAGGTGTGAATAAACTCTTTGTTCCTGTACCAGGCTAGTGGCAACTTTGGGGTTTTTTCAGTCTTCTGCTGTCTGTGATCTTGATTTTGCTGCTGCAACATTTATTACAAGCATGTTATACCTACAACACATAAAAATGGAAACACAGTGCACTGGTTTATCCTGGGGCCCTTTGTTTTAGAACACAATTTGCATATGTGAATGCTTTAGAAATAAGAGTTCAAACATACAACACTTCAAAAGAAAACCCATGTTCCTTGAAGTAGCAGGATGTATCACAATTGCACAAATAATCTCATCTCCTCACACTCAAGATTTTGATTGGGTTGGTTCAAACACAAATAACAAACATGAAAGGTTGAAGTAACTGCTGCTTAATCCTAACCTTTAGGAAATAGCTACTTCAAGGTCAGTCAGAGTTATGTTGGTATAGTCATCTCTCTTATTCTGCCACACACCTCTGCAGCTGGTGACTAATGTGAGTTTTAATTGATTCTCAACTGATCTATACCAATAAAGGCAGACTCTCAAGATTTTCTGTTATGAAATAATTTTGTTGTAATTGTTTCATGTCACTTCAAGGAAAGAACAACAGTGGCAGGGCTAGGACACCAAGTGAAAAATAGCGTAAATGTACAGTAGGCACCAAAAGCGGGACAAATAGGAACAGGAATGTCCTTTAAGATAATTCACTGCTTTGAGGACCAACTTGCATTTTTAGTCCAGCAAGGACTCATGCCTAGTATTCTAGGTATGGTCAGTGTGAAAATCTCTGCTATCAGCCAGAGAGACATCCTAAGAAACTATGTCAGCAGAGCATGTCAATTCCAGATCTTCTACTTGGACAGAAAACCTCCATTCTCTTCCCTCTCCTGGCTGCTCATCTCCTTCATTTTTAAAGCTCCACCAGCTAGTTCAAATCTCTGGCAAAACCAAAATAGGTTAGATTATTTTCAGCAGATCTCAATAAAGAAGTTTAGCCTGAAAACTGACTTATTTGTATGCCTTCCTCAGACCTGCATCTAGCAACTACAATCTTGGATCCTTTTTGTGTTCCCCAGACACTATATCTAAGCAAATTCTACTCCAAATATTCAATTTAATACAAAAAGAACACTATTGGAATGCCAGTGGAGACTATGTGAAGTTTCCACCTAGAAATCAGGCCACATTTAGCTGGACTCTTTAGAAAGAGAAAGAATAAAGATGATAAGTCTACATGAAGTTCAAGGTGGTCAGCCCAGTACAGCCAAGAAATCTGCAGCAATCAAACCAGTAGCTCAGAAAGTCACTAAACTGCAGGTCCTTGAACTGTGGGAGAAAACACAGTGGAAAATTCTCAGTACATGCCTCAATGGCTGCTGTCAAAGATAGGACAGAGGGTGAACAGACAATACAGTGGCTCTGGCACATTTACTCACAAACAACCCAAGTATCTCATGCTGCACTTCCTGCTCCTTCCTGTGCTAAGTGACACTCAAGCTTTGGGTACACATGTACTCCTCACCACAAGTGAGGAAGAAACAAGTGAGAAGACCTGTGTGCTGTCACAGTCAGCACTGTGCCCTGCTGTTTTTCTTTAACATGCACCACACCATCATCTGACTCACGTATCAGTTTCTAGATCTCTCCCATAACACAAACCCACAATCAACAAGTCATCTGCAATGCAAGGCCATTCTCCTCTCCACTGCTCAGACTAGTGAGCCTGAGCCTTCCAAATTACAGGTGTCATGGGAAAGGGCAGGTGTCATTTCTGTTCTCTGCAAAGAATGTCTCAAGTTCAAAGTACAGCCACAGTAAGACTCACCCATCTGCTCATGAAACTCCTAACAAAAAACAACAGAGCATAAAGCACTATTTCCTGGCTCTCCTGCTTATAATCTGACAACAAGGGAAGCTGGACAACCTATAAAAGTTTACATAGTGCAAGTAACTTGTTCCATGGGTGCTCTTCAAGAATAGTATCCTCTTGTTAGTGACAATCCTTCCTTTCTGCCTGAATACTTTGTCAGACAAGGTGAATTTAGACCAATCTCAAATTAAAACAAATGGTGACTCACACTCATTTCTCTTCTCCTAGTTCTTTTCTCCAGAACTAACTCACCTGTAACATACCTCCCGCAGATAGCATGAATTAAAAGAAGCAGTACACTTCACTTTTTTCTTCACAAAACAAACAAAAATTCCCCACCAAAAACTGTCTTTTTGCAAAACACTAAATTCACAAGGGCAGTGTGAAGCTCAGCTCATTCCAGCACATGATAAGCAGGAATACACTGTCAGTGTTAACTGTCTACAAAGTAGGCAGAACACATTTAAGGTATTTACCAAGAAACAAATATGTAGAATTTTGAAAAGTCTTTTTACCAAATAAACAAGTCTGTACTGTTTGTCTTCAACCCAAACTGCAAGTCATTGTGGTTTATACCGGAAATGTGTCTGTTGGGTGTAAAACAGTCTAGGTCTGCTTTCTTAGCAGCAGACTATTTACTCTATGAGTATTTTCACTTCAGCATTTATATTTATGCTGTCTATTTTTCTGCTTGGAAGCAAAGCAAGTACACAATTAAGGTGAAATTTCTCTTTTTGTTTTTTCTTCTCAAAAGACAATATATTTTAAGGAACAGAATTTTTGTAAATCATTTGAAAATATCTGAACAATAGTAAAACAATATTTTGTCTAAACTGTACAAATTAAACATAATAAATAAATAAAGATACAAATTAAACTATAATACTACAATGTCATTTGCAAAACAAGTATTTGGACATTCAGATGGCCTTAAATCCTTTTCATTGGTAATTTAGGTAGAACTAAATATTAAAAAATTACTGAAATCTGCACTCACTCCCATTTTCTTCAAAAAGAAAAGAACAAACTTGTGCCAGATGTAGCTACACAATTGTTCTTTTCTGTAAGCTGTCATCTCTAAGGTAGTAAGGAAGTCTACAGACACAGAGAGCCTGAATGCTGACTTTAATGGTGACTGATCTGTGCTGGCCTGATGACAGCACAGAGCTGGGACTACTCCCCTGTGTTGTGGTGAAGCAGGTGGAGAGAGAGCATGGAGTGGTTTAGATTTACTAGATTGAATGCTGGCTGTGCAAATAGACCAAAATGATCTTGTGTTGCTCTACTGAACACGTGGCCTGGGAACAGAGATCTTCACTTTACACAGAGGTTGACTACTCTCACTGAATGGGAGAAAAAGGAGAACATTCTAAACAAATCCCAAAGAGTCTCCTCTTTGAGAAGCAGTGTTTACTCACAGGTCTGTCACACTTTGATCCAGAGAGTCTCTTTCTATCTGACTTTCATTGTGGAGAGAGTCTGATTCCTGTACTTGGCACAGCTCCTCATCAGTGATTATATCAAAAGCTGCATCATCTGGTGGTTTAGAGGCTTCACTTGCAACTGTGCAGAAAAAAACATGAGAAGAAACATGAACACTCTTAGCCGGCTGTCTGGAAAACAAACGAGCAAAGCCCTTAAGGGGCAAGCCTGGGCCATTCCTCTTCATTTACAGAAGCTTTAGATAACTATTAGAATTAATGGAAAATCTTGGTGTGACTGACATTCATTTAATACATTAATGTTTCTCTCAATATCAATTAAGTTCAAAGACAGAGTCAGTCCCACCCTGAAAACTCTCCATGACCTCCTGCAGGTCATTGGAGCAGGAGGTGACCGTGTGGTTTCTTGGAGACTGTCAAAGAACAGTACTTATATCCCCACAGCATGCAAACAATAAACTAACCAAAAGCCCTCTCAGATGGTGACACAGGTGATTCCAATGAAGCTGGTGATCCTTCCTGGTTGGCACTGGATCCAGAGTCATCTGTACTGTCCACAATCACTCTAGGCTTATTAAAGCAAGCTCTGCAGCAACGCTCCTTTTTTCCACCAAGCTTTGTCACCATGTAGTTGTTGCAGCAGTAGTAGCAGAAAATGCGGCCACACATTCTAGAAATGATTCAAAACCAGAGGTGTTAGAAAAATACCACACACAGCCAGAACATATCTCTGACAGAGGCTGGGGCTCTCTCATAATGGTCTTATTTTCTGCAAAAGCATGAAAGCTACACCCATTGGAAGAATTCATAACAGACCACACTCCTTTCTGAAGTGAAGCAAGTCTTCTTGACAAGCACAGGATAGAAATTCACATTCATGCTTTGCTACCTTAATAAACAGGTAAAACAGAAAAAACTAAAAATACAAAAAATAAATATAAAAATATAAAACAATTAAATGTTCACAAATATACAATGCAAACAAATTATATTTATATTAAGTATGTAAGAAGAAAATTAACTTAATACTACACAGGCCAAATCTCACAGACAGGTAGAACAAAACTTGATTTGATTACAAGAACTTTAAAAACACATCTGTATGTCTCTGCTTCATAATGACCCCTCCTCCCTTCAGAAAGGAAAAAAATCCAGTATTGGACACATATGTGTACATTCATTCCTCCTGCCCTCTCCAGTCTGAAGTCTTGCAGTATTAAACTTGTCAACTACTTTTTAATGTTGAGATTTTCATGAATTAAAGCACCCAACAGGGATGACTGCTACTCAGGAAATTTTAATGGTTTAATGTTGAGATTTTCATGAATTAAAGCACCCAACAGGGATGACTGCTACTCAGGAAATTTTAATGGTTTTGTTTTTCTTAATCATTTAAATCATTACTGGGTGAAGACACAAGCAGCTTTCAGAGACCTTAGCAGAAATGAGTAATTTGGAAGCTGTTACCAAAATGACTTCACCATTCACTAATCCCTGTAGAATGTTGTTTACAATCACGTGAAAAGGAAACAGTTCTAGTGCTTCCTTCTTTCCTTACATGACAAATCAGGTCATGAGGCTAAGGAACAGTAAAGAGCCAAACCAAACATATCACTAGGACCCTGAAATGTATCCATTTAAGTACTTTTTAATAAATCTAGATTGGATAACTAACACTAACTGTAGGGGAAATAATTTAATATCCACTTAAAAAAAAATTACCCTGCAATAGTTGATTATCTCTGAACATACCTAGTGTAAGTAAACAAATTTATAATTGCACAGCATGTTGAAACATGTTCTGGAATACTTCCACCATAGTAGCAAAGCCATCCTAGTGAATATTGTGTAGAGAAGAACAGAGCAGTGCACAGTCCTTCAAAGCAACACACTATACAGGGTTTGATTATCTTTGTTTCCAGAAATGAGAAATTAACAGACTCTCCAAGTCAGAGTTGCATCCAGATCTTTGTCTTAATACATGTCAAGGGATCTTTCCAATAATGTCTTATCCCCTCACGTGTTCTTTCAGCCTCTACAATGTCACGTATCAACAATTTTGATCACTGAACTGTGAATATCAAGAAATATTTCCTCCACACAGACAACCATACTGAGTTTTGCTTTTGAACAGTGCAATACAGTTCAACAACCGACCTGCAGTGGTGTCGGCGCACCATCCATGAGAACTCTCTCTGGCAGTCCAGACAGTGATTAACTTCTGTGTCCCCCTGCCACCTCTGCTCTGCACTAAGCTTCTGCTGGAACTCCAGAGCATCAGACTTTTGCCACAAAGCATCCTTATCTCTGCAGTGACACAGTTAAAAGAAAGAAAAACACATAGAAGTTGTCACAGTGTTGGTTTATTGCTAACCAACCTCAACTGGAATGCTGGTGAAAGCTTCACAGTAAAAATTCCTTTGCTCCTAAAATTCTGAGAAGCTTTCAGACATAAAGATAGACCAAAAAACCTACTGAAGCTTCTGCAAAGATAGGGAGAAGACCACTTGCCATGCAGAGAACTACATATTATTTCAAAACAGACAGGAAATTAAGGAGATATTATTGAGTGTTACATTTTTTGACTATATAATGGAAATGCAAAATTTCAATTGCTGATGAATTTGACCTTCACTTGTATCTTCAATTTGGGAATATAAGCCTGGATGACCTAAGCAGAATTCCTGAACATCCTAAGCAAGGATTTTAATTTCTGCTTGCTGTTTATTTTGATGCCAACCTTATAAGTTCTATTAAACGTTCTTCAAGGAACTGCTTTGTTCTTGTCAGGTCATCCAGCTCAGCAAATAACTTCTGGTCACTGCTATCTTTATCTGCTGCCACCTTGCTGAGCTTCTCAGTGTAATCCAGGATCTTCTCTTTTGCTTCATCAGCTTCTTTTTGGATCCTGATCAAATACAAAGGCAATTATTAATCATTTTTAGCTCATGTAAATTCAAGTCTTCCCTGTGGAAGGAAGGGCTCTTCCACCCCAATAAGCAGGTAGTTTCAGTGAAATTTTTCTCAGTGTGCATATTTTTTAGAGCTAGGCAGAATCTCCCCAGTTTTCTGCATCACTGAAAATGCACATAGATCCATTATCTAGTGAACACAGCCAGCAACCAGCAATTTCTTAGATGCCCTGCTTATAGTAAAGCTTCTGATGGTATCAACTAGAGATAATACATATGATATCAGCACAAATGTATAAAAATACATAGGCTTTGGTTAACCTTTAGACTCTGTGTGAGCCCACACACCCATGAAGATCTATTTCTGACTGCCAGATTATCCACACCACACAGGCCTCACACAGTTACCGACTTTGAAAACACATCCTGAGTTAAATTATTAAAGCTGATAAGAAACCCGACAAAGACATGCAGGATGTGGCCCCATTCAGATAATTCTTACTGATTCCCTGAAACTTCACAAAGAGGAGAGAAAAAAGAAACTGTCCAAAAGTACAAATTTTCCATTTCTTACAAAGAACCCCAGTATTAATTTTGTGCTTAACCTGTAAAATAAAAAGAGGTTATAAAAATGTCTCTCATTAATTTATATCAGCTAAATTAACTATACAGTAAAAATGAAGCCATGCACTCACGTGTGCTGCATAATTTCCATGTTTCTTATGTGAAGTGTCAATCTGATATTCCCTGCCAGTGCCCAGGAGCTCTTTGTTCTATATAAACACTGTGACATATGGTACTTCATAAACCATGGTGATTTTCAGTATGTTTTGATTATTGTCCTCTTGCTTGGCCTACAAATTAATAGCTTCTTTAAAGATTCCAAACTCTCACCTTTCCAAGAGTTCTCTAAGAGAAGTCACTTCCTCTTCCTTCTGCAGCCGAGCAGATTCTGATTCTGACAGTTGTTCTCTAGCTTCATCCAACTTTCTACACAAACTCGTGTTTGCAGCCTAGTAAAATGAATTACAGTATTTCCTTACATATAAAAACAAGATTTTACCATGCACAGGACAATTACCAAGACAGCTAACAATGTTTTAAAAGAATCAGTTACAGCCAAGTGACCAATTAAGATATTATTGTATAAGCAGGCAGTAATTAGTTGTGTACTAGTGACTGATTACTTCTGTCACACTGAATAAGGGATACACGCTAAAGTGACACAGTGATAAGCCTGTAATTCTTGTTAGTCTATGTCAGTTGAAGTTTTGCCTCCTTATCAAGAAAAATCTCTCAAAAATAATGGTAAAAGAATACACCCTGAAAGCTTTTTCACCACCTGAAAGATTCAAAAGATAAAAATTAAATAAGAGGAAACTGTTGTTTATTAAAGCCCATATTGAATAGGAAGGACAATCGAAAACAACCCAACTTCTTTCACAGCTAGACTCTCCAGAGAAGTCTGCCAAATTTGGAGTCCTCAGGGCTATTTGCATCTAAATTGCTAATTGCAATTACATAGCTAATTGCATCTAAAGGCATGTATTTCTCCTAGCAGGCAAGGCCACATCCAGTAATCTTAAATTTCTTCTTTCTGGATTCCTTACAACTCAGTATGACCCTTCTAACCCAACCACTTGATAAACTTATTGCAAAAGTTCTGTTTTTTTCTGGCTGGGTCATTTCTCAGCCACATTAATTCTCTAATTCAGTGCTTTGTGCAGCCTGCAAATAGATGGATCTATACATGTGGCTGTATGGGAATGCAGGGCCTAAGAAAAACACATCTTAAACCCACACCCCCATTTAGGAAGAGAACACACAGCCAGGTCTTACATAAAACCTGACCAGCTTTCAAGGCAGGACAAATCCTAAGTGATATTATGCTTTTCATAATTTCTGCTTCAGTGGCTGTCAGCTGCCCAGTATTTTGTCTGCAGCACCTGCCCAGTATTTTATCTGCAGACTCACAGCCAGTCATCAGAAATGCTGCTCACCTTCCCAGTTGTAACACTAATGCCTGCTGACACAAATACCTCTAGTTTTAATTCAGATCAAGCACCTACTTGTAACTCTGTAATCTCTTCCTCCGCTGCATGCTGTTGTCGCTTCTGCTCCTCAAGTTGCTCTCTTACTTTCCCACACTCCTCACTGACAGCCTGGCAGAGAGATTGAGCCAGTAGTTAATAATCCTCCAGCGGCCACCCCTTCACCTATAAAATTCCCAGCTGTGAATTATGAGTGCTTTACTGCCATGCATGGGAAAAATGCAGCACCACTGGCTCATGAAAGACAGCTAAAAGACACTCTCAGAATCAAGCAAACTCACTTTATGGTGGCACATTGACTGTGTTTTACTGTTACTTTGCATTGGCTGTTGCAAATCTCAACAAAAAGAAGGTAAAACCCATGCAGTGGCATAAGCCTCTGATCAACCACCAATCTTAGACAATTTATCAGAATAGCAAAGGAAACACAATGAAATCTTCAGCCTTTAGGTGTGTGGTTTCATATACACAGGGCTGACTCATGCTTTTTTGGAAACAACACTTGATCTTCCCAGCTGCTACCTTGAGCAGCTGAGAGCACAAATACATGAGGGAATTAAATGCAAAAGCAACTGGTCTCAGTGTCTAAGTTTCCTTTCATAAAAATGAGTTCTTAGAAGAAGCAGTGTTATAGGTGTGAGGAACAGGTCTTGAAATGTTCCTACGAAAAAAGGAAACAACCACAGCTGTGACCAGAGGGACAGAAGATGCCACCTTCACCGCCAGTGTAAGAAATCATCACTCTTTTACTTTAGATAGGCCTAGGTCATGAGCACAGAGATATTTTCAGATTCCCAGGCTAAGGCAGGTTGCAGTTAGTCTCAGAGCCTGACCCACACAAACCTCAGGATTTCATGCAGTAATTGCTGTAGCAGATGGTAAAGCAGCTCCCTCAGCTATAATAATTACATTAATTTACCTTGAATTTTGTCTGATAATTTAGAATCTCTGTGCTCATTTGAAATTTTATTGCAGACAGCTCTTCTTGGCTGGTCTCTTGGAAACTCTGTGCCTGTTTCTTTATTGTCTCCAGCTGCAATTGCAGACTTGGGACAGCTGCGGCACACATTTGAGCCTCCTCTAATTTCTCTTGCAGGCTCTTGTTCTCCTCTCTGAGATTAGAGACGTCAAGCTTCAGCTTCTCCTGTTGCTCTGCTGCCTGTTCTTCCAGTTCTTTGAACCTTTCTGTGGCCTGGGCCAATTGCTCTTCTGCATCCACTTTTTCAGAGGTCAAGGCACAAATCTGAATGCCAAGTTCAGCCATATCAGTGTTGGTCCTGTGGAGGAGATCTTTATTTTCTTCGTTTTCCACTCTAGCATTTTCCAAATACAGCTTAACCTTAGACAGCTCTTCCTTTAGGTTCATCAAATTATCTTCCAGCTCAGCTTTTTGATGGGCTGCTCTCTCCTGCTCTTTTTTCAGCTTTTCTTCCCTTTCTTTACATTCCACCAGTTCTTGCACATGATTTCTGTTGAGAGACTCACTCTGCTCTTTCAGCTGCTGGACAAGCGTCTTCTGCTCACTCAAGACAGTCTCAGTGACTGCCAGCTCACCTCTCATCCTCTCTCTCTCATCAGTGGCCTGCTGAAGCTTGACTCGCAGATCCAGGACTTCTGCCTGCAGCCTGGACACTTCACCTCTGTTGACCTCCAGCTGCTCTTCACTCATGGTCAGTCTGGAGGCCAACTCCTTTGCCTCCTTCTCCAGGGACGCTGCCTGCTGTAGTTGTTGTTTTTCCACTGATTCCTTTTCTGATGTGAGAGATTCTATAAGTTTTGTCTGATGAAGGCATGTCTTTTCAACACTGAGCTTTTCTATCTCAAGAGTCTCTGCTTTCTTCTTGTGTCTTTCAGCTTCTGCTCTTAGCTGCTGACATTGGCTCTCCATGCCCTGCAGTTCTACTTCCTTCTGTGTGAGCTGCAACTGGAGACACTCTTTGCTTTCCTTCAAGGTGTCCAAGCTTTTTTCCATTTGTAAACTATGCTGTTTGGCACTCTTCAGTTGTGCTTCAAGTGAGGCATAAGACTCCTTGGAGGTCTCTTCTCTTTGCTTTAGTTCTTCATATTCTGACTGCAGAGCCTCCAGCCTCTCCTCAAGAATTTGGCTTTGCCTCCTGGCATTCTGCAAGTCTTCATCCAGCTGTTTGTTCTCACTCCGGAGCTTCTTCTCTTTTTCATCAACTGACACCAGGGCATCATCTATCTCACTCTGAAGTTGTTTCTCAGAGGCTCTCAACTTGGCTACATCAGCTTCTAGGGAAGCTTTAGAAGCTTCCAGATTTTTCAGCTTCTCTTCCATCTTCTTCTTAGACTGCTGCAAATTCTCATTCTCTGCTTTCAGTTTCCTGCTCTCCTCATCCAATTCACTCACTGCAGAGTTTTGCTGCTCCATCTGCTCCTCCAGCTCCTTGACTTTCTGCCTGAGATGCTCCTTCTCAGACATGAGTTTCTGGTTTTGTTCCTGAAGGTTACACACAGTCTGACTCACCTTTGTTAAGCGACCCTCCTGTAGTTCAAGTTGCTCTGCTTGTGACTGGACTTCCTGCTTCAGTGCTCCTTCTCTCCTACCATACTCCTCCTCAAGTTTCTCTTTTTCCTTCCTGGCTTCCTCAAGATTTTTTTCCAGTGAACCCACCTGAGCCAGCGACCCCATTACCTGGGTCTGAAGCTCAGCCATCTCCTTTCCTTTCAGAGTCAGGGCCTCCTGAAGTGCATCCTTTTCCTTTGCCATGGTCTCCAGGCTCCCAGTCAGCTTTTCACTCTCTTCTTTGGAGTTAGCAGTGAGGCTACTGTATTTGGATTCCAGTTCCTTCTGTGCCTGTTCTTTCAGCATCAGCTCCTCCCTTGCTGCTTTCAGCTGAGAAGCATGTTCAGCATTGAGTCTTTGCATATCTGCCTTTTCCTTTTCCATCTCCTGAAGCTTCTCTAACAGTGCCCGTATTTGTAGGGCAGAGTCATACTGGGCTGTGGCTTGCTGTCCCTTTTCGTCCAAGGCAGCATCAACTTTTGCAAGGAGGTTGAGGTTCTTCTGTTCTGTGGAACTCAGCTTGGCTTTAAGCTCATCAATGCAAAGATCCTTCACAGCAATCAAAGCCCTAGAGGTCTCCAGCTCCTGATTTGAAACCTGCAATTTTGAGGCACAATCTTCCTTGCTGGTCAACAGCTGCTCCACCTTTGTTGAGTGTTCCTTCAGCTGCTCCGTTGCACTCAGTTCCAGTGACTGTAGGCACTTCTGCAGGTCATGCACAGTGCTCTGAGTGAAGTGTGAGACCTCACACTGCTTCTGTAACTCTGTGATCATCTTTGTCAGCCGGGAGTTCTCCTCACTGTAGTTATTGCTCTTCTCCTTTTCTACCTGTACTTGTTCCTTTTGAAGGCTGACAGCTGCCTGGAGCTCCTGGTTTTCCATTTCTAGCTGGTGAATACGATCTTGAAGTTCCCTCTGCCTCAGCTCAGCCTGGTCAAGTTCTAAACGCATCTCTTCGTAGCCCTCAAGGTGTTCAACATTTAGTGAGTTATTCACATCAGGGCTGGAAGGAAACTCTTGTGCCTAAATGAACAGAAGGAGAAAATCAGAAAGTTTAAGCAGCATTAAACATTCATTCAAATGGTGTGTTCAAATGAAAGCAAGTTCAGGTTCTTAATGTACAGTGACATTATGTGTTGCCTTTATAGCACTACAAGATATCAACTTGTAGGAAATGAAGCTTGTTTTCTCAAAAGATAAATGAAAACATGCCTGTCTGCAGGTAGTCTTATGAACATATTTCTTTCTTTGACAAGATTTGCATGTTAAGTTGAAGCAGCTGACAATCCCCTTTACTTTTAATTAAAATGCTTCCCTTTACTTTTAATTAAAATGCTTTTTGCAGTTTAGATTATAAGACTCATAACCATCATAAAAGTTCTCTGAAACTATGTCAACGAAGGACCTACCATGACATATAAACATTTATTTGTAATTTGCTTACCTGCAAATAATTGCTCACTAAACTGCTCATGCTGGAACTGCGACTTGGGGGCTTCCATAAATATGCTGAAGATCCAAGTGAGGACAGAGTCCTCCTGTTTAGAGAAATAATATCTAAGGTAAGTCTAAGCACATATATATGTATCTTTCTACTTGTATATGTAAGATTGATCTAGTGGTAACTACCACATAAAAAAGGATATAACTGCACCCGCAGTCTTGGCCAGCAACCACTGAAGTTGATGAAAAATAAGATAGGGATATCGGAGACATCTATAAAAGGTGATGGGGCTGGCAGCTGTCACTTCCCTCATCCACAAGAACTACGCAGCCTTGCTCTAAGGAATTGCATTGCTGTGTGGTGGCGGCTCAACCAGAGGATGGCAGCAAAGGGCCCTCGGAAACCCCCATGGATACAAATGGCTCTGGACCAGACCTGGTAGCTTTTGCTATCCCCCACTTGTAGGTGGGATATCTGTGGCTGCAAGTGAAGCACACGGCTTGGCTGTGCAGTCACTGCATGTCTCAGCTCTTGAAACAGAGGAAGCTAAGAAGATTTCTTCTTGTGCGTGTATAGATGAGAATAGCTCGGGATTTGGGCCAAAACTGCAGCTACTGAAGTGCCATATTACAGAGCACCATCTCTGATCCCTGGTTCTCAGTATACTGAAGGACAAACAGGACAATTTGGTCATGGAAAAAGCATATACCTGCTCAAACACAAGTGTTCCTACCCACAAAAGCAGAAGCTTTTACAGATTCTTTAGCAAGTAGGTGTTTTATGGCCTTGTAAATACAAAATCACAATGTGGCTCCATCTTACCTGGCAAATGCTGGCCAAGCAGCATCTAAATCATAGCCTCTTGATGCCAAGTCAAACTGAACATCAGTGAGCTCATAGAGTTGACCCACAATGTCAGAACTCATTTTGGAATTCAGAAATGGACTTCTTGCATAGTACCAGTCACTTGAAAACAAACAAAAGAGAAGTAATACTCATTCATAGGCAAAAGGGAAGCAGCAGTTTCTCTTACATAAAACTCCCTACATCATTATTCACTCCACCACAGAAAAACTATGATACAGTATTTTAAACACAAATGAAAACAATTAGACCCACCAAACAATATTCTATCCCTTCAATGTCAATGAAATGAAACAAATTTAATTAATTCCACATCTTTAAAGGGATCCCTGCACAAAATGTTTTTTCCTCAAGTGCTTGGGCAAATCACTGACAGTAAAAAATATTTGCAATACACTGGATAATCACACAGTAACTAAAGCATACATTTAATACATCAAAAATGAGGAACAGAAAGCAGCATCCAGAGATAAATACATCGTGAAAATAGCTGGCTTTTTCTTAAAGCCCTAGCAGCGCCCCTCCAACCAAATGCAAACTATCTTTGGAATTTCCTGGCCAAGGGCAAGTTTGGTCCTTTGTGTGACCACCCACAGATATATGTAAATGCTTTCTGGGCTTTGTGCAACACATTCAAATTATTTTTCTCTCATGATGAATAGTCCATCAAACCCAGGATCTTCAATACTTACAAATATATGACCTTTCAAAGTGACGTACAGAAGCATCAGCACAACCCACTCCACATATATTAAGCTGTAATAACTTTCAATCTTTACAAGCCCAAGATAGGCATGAACCAGTGACCCAGGCCAAAAGGTCTATGATCCTTCATATCCTATTACCAGCTCTGTAAGCCAAACAATTGGAAGTGTTTCAACTTCTTTCAATAACTACTAGGTGATGTTGCTTGATCACATTGAGCAAACACCCCATTAGTTAAAAAAGCCCTTTGCTATTCACCTGGTCACTTTGGTGTTCATAAAACATTGCTGCAAGGTGTCTGCTAGCCTTTGGTGAACCAGGGAATAACGAATAAATGCTCTTCCTTTTCCAAGAGAGGTTCGTAGCTTGAAGGGAGAAACCACAAGAAAAGAAAGTTAAATATCATTTGTGATCATGTAGAGACATGGCCAGAACAGCCTACAAAGCAGCACAAAAATACTCACAATAAGCCACTGTAAAGCAAAAAGTTGTAAAGGAAAAAGTTGTAAAGGAAGCCAGTAAGAACTGCCACTGAGAAACACCTTTTCCTAAGTCTGTCATTGGGTGGAATCTTTACAGAATGATGAATTTGTTTCTACAGCTGGCTATTGTTCACTTTATAATAATATAAAAGGCACCACAGGACCAACGAATCATCTAATATATTGAGTACCTGAGCACAGACTATGCTAAGAACATTTCAAAACAAAAGGCAAATCTCAATGTGCCCAGCCAAGATGGAAGCGACAGCTTAAGTTACTGAAGATGTGTATGGCCACAGCTGGAAGAGCTTTAGGAAAGATTAAGTCATAGAACAAAGATGTACACATATACAAATACACATCCCCATGGACACAGTAACCCCACATAAATGCAAAAAGCCTTTCTTAATATGTAGCTTCTAAGTTGATTAAAACCTAATTATTTTTTCAGACCAAGAACAGCTGCATGACCAAAATTAATGGATCTTTTAATGAAAACAGCTGTTAAATCAACATAAGGGGGATCACGAAGCTCAGTACTGAATTTTTTTATTGCTATTGACTTGAAAAATCAATACTTTGTTTTTACATCTGAAGCATTTTCTGTCCTGCAAAATAGTGAAACACTGAATAGTGGTGTTTCTTCTTTCTATCAAAGTCAGTAATCAATTTAGAAATGGAAAAGGATGAAAGAATTTCTCACCTAACTGCTCATCTAACTAACAAAGCAAACATGTTTTAAAATAGAAGCCAAGACAAATAATAGAGAGGCTGAGGCACAAGTTAGTAGGTTACTGTAAACTTTGCTTGAAAGGTTAGTGTGAAAGAAGGCTCAAAGGCCACACAAGCTTTCTTTCCCAGCCATCAGTATTCCACTGTGCTGAAGTGAGAGCTTCCCTGTTTTTGCTGTTACTGGGCTTCTGCTCTGAAATAACACAAGCTCTTCATTTAGTTCAGTAACCCACTACATACAAAAATGTTCCTTATAAATGGAACCTGAATGAAATGTGAAGCAAAGACAGCAACACTTATTACTGATTTTTGTTTTGAATTCTACAGGATGGAAAGTGCAAAATGCCATGGTCCCTAAGCACTAAGCATCCCAGAAACAGCAAATTTAATTTACCCCCTGGTTTTCACCCTCATTCACCCTGCAGGTATCTGAACATTTCTTCAGGGAGATGCTATCCCTACTCTGTGCACAGGAGCTTACAAGTCTTTTTTCCTAACTAGGCATATTTAGTGAATATCTTAAGAACTGTCAAAAAAACCTCCAAACCCTGGAAGCCACAGAATTAATCCTATCCTTATTCCCATTGATTTATCAATTTAAATTCTGATACTTTCTATAAGCAATATGGAGACATCAGAAAAAAAGGTACATTATGAGAACCAGAGGAAAATATTTACATATATGCAGCTAAAAGTAGCCAAAGACTATTTGACTAGGAAAGATGTGTATTAAGTGTAATCACCTTTGGAAAGGGAAAGGGGAATGACCAGAACTCACTGCCACCTACTGCTCTCAAGAATAAGGCCCTCTACTTAATTAAGAGATAACAGCTTCCAGGGTATTCTTATTTGCTTCCTTGCTCCACCTCTCTAGCATATCATGCACCCTAATATTAGAAGCACTGCAAGCAGAGCAGAAGCTGTTGAATGTCTGACTGTTCTTTAAGTTAACTGCTATTACTCTTTCCTTTTTGTTCATTTCCAGGTTTGAAAGTCAACTAGTATTGTTCAGTAAGCAAATAAAGGACATTTGGAAACCTCTATGTTCTATCCAGCCAGGTTCAAAAATTTGCTGCTGATTTCTACCTGTAATGAAGGCGAATAACAAATATATATTTATGCCATGTGTCATCTAATTTCTGGGCCCAAGTCTGCCAGCTCACTTACCCAAAACAGATCACTGATTCTTTTTTTAAGAGTTTATATTTCTAAACCACAAGTTAATAAAGATTAAGGAAGCCTTCTATACGCTAATTTCGATGGCTGCACATAAATTGAAGTAGAAAATATCCTGCTTCCAAACTATAATTTCTGACATTGTGCTAACAATTTAACAGCCAGAGATACTGAAGAAGAAAAAAGCAGAGCAGCCTTTACATGTGGCAATATGCAGGTGATACCACAGGCAACAAACTGCTGACTACAGCACAGCCACCTTTGCAGAGAAATCTGCAATCGCCAGACCACTGCCTCTTCTATCCACAAGGAAAATCTTCTTCAAACAATTCTAAAGACTCAGACAGGATCAACACAGAAAGCTTTTCACAGCTTTTATTTCACCCATGCATTGAGCTGAAGACATACGTGGTTTTTACAAGATTAAGCTTTTATTACTAATCTAAATCTAACAGGAACAAGGCTTTTTGTGCTGTTCCTGACAGCTTACCCAAGGGAATAATAACAATCACCCCTAGTCATTTCATCATGCTATTTCACACAGAGGAACAGAGTTCAGACAGAAGATGAAACTGCTGCTCTCAGTCAGTCCTCCTCAACTCTATGGACCAGTTTAAAAAGCCTTAACAAAAGTCAAATATGGTGAACCTTTCATCTTACACTGAGAGCCAGATACTGCTGTAAGCTTTGCTGAAGATGGCATGCTCTACCCTCGACTTGATTTTTCATTTCTTTTTAGAGAAAATTACATTAAATTTATGAAAACACAGGGCACAACCAGAGACAAACAAGTCCATTCACTTGTGTAAGTGGTATTTGAAACAGGAATCAGGCTTTTGAATCCTACATAATTTAGTGTCCTAGCAAAAAAAGTAATCTTGCATTTTGATACTTCATGTGAAAATTAGAAAAAAAAATAATCCCCTTTTTTTGCTATATGTTAAAAGCTTTTTTTTTTTTGGTTTGTTGCTACTGCTCTCTGAAAAAGCATGGCAAAACATAAACCACATATTCTGATGCTTAACTGATATACTTACTTCTGTAATAGACTTGACAAAGCGGATTCCATCATTAGCTCCTTTGATTTTTGCCAGACAGTCACAGAAATAATCCCAGTAGTCTTTTCTGTTCCCCAGCAATGTGCTTTTTTCTTTCTGGTCAAACTTAAAGCAGGAAAACAAAATACAATGAGCAAAATTCAAATAGAAATATACTTATATATAGCTACTTGGAATCCTGTTCCTCTCCCAGCAGCATGTGCTTTCGTAACTCTTCTTAGCTTTAGCCAATGTATTCACAAAGGAAAGAGACACTGCACTGTACCACTGCAATCCAGCAGTTACAAAAGCTACTTAACTGACAGTAAGAGATAATAATGTTCTGGGTCTCTTTAAAATACAGACATCCATTCAAAACTCCTGAGACAAAGACTGGCAGCAGATTCAGCATCTGTTCAAGAGCAAGGCACTAACAACCAGCTGCTCAGAGACCTACAATTAAGCGTGGCAGTAGCACGAGTGTATGTACCAGAAAAACCTGCTCTAGTTAAATCATGTTCAGAGCAGCAATGCAGCAAGTGTATGGACTGAACCCCGGACCATCCAAATCCCAAAGGATTTTCCAGTTTCTGCTCTGCAACCCCATTAAAACTCCCTTGCCTAGACTAAGGCTAGATTAGCATTTGTTGCAAATTAGCGTTTGTTGCAATCAGTGGCATGATTACGGTATATGTGGACACCACACTATGCAAACTGAATTTCAGTTTGCCCAGCAGCATCCTCTTTTACTTAAACCCTAAGGGTGGACAAAAAGCAGCAGTCCAGATTAAAAATCAGCCTTTTGCTTTAAGCAGTCCATTCAATCAAAAAAGCTTTCTAAAGCAAAATTGTTGAAAATTCTATAAATTACTCACATCCAGTATTTATTTTTCATTAAAATGTCAAGATATCATTGCCACAGTTTTTTCAGGAAAATTTAGCAAGATATATCTTTAAAATCAAGCTCAGATCTTTCATATCGATAAAGAAATGCCTTACATTTCTCAAGTCAAACTTCCAGCACTGCCTTTTGATTACATTAATTTTCACTTGAAATAGGTATAATAGCACATATTTCAGTCCTCTTATTACACACACCAAAATACAATAGAAAGAGAGACTCAACTGGATATTTATGGTTATTTGAGTTAAAATCCACAGGGTGAAGAGTCAGCAAGAGAAAATAAGGCCAAGTTCTGCTGGTGGATTACAAATGACACAAATCACTTTTTACCTGTAAGAGGTACTCAAGCTTGTAGGAGAATTTTTGCAAGTTGACACTGTCGTCTGTGATCGGTTCGCCTCCTTCTTTAAATTCTTTACTTAATTCAGTCACTGCATCTTTAAAACAAGACAGCAAAATAGTTAACTAATGCAGAGGACATATAGCACTGAATCCATAAACAACTAAATAAATGCTTTCTTCACGGACACTCTGCATGTGGACTCATTTTCTTTTAGCTGAAATGTCTTAATGACAATATGAAGAAATGACTGATAAGCTTGTAATTTGAGACCACCCATAAGAAAATAGGAGTTCAAACTGTGACAATCTGTTGTATGGATTATTTCTTCTTAAAACACACACCTAGCACTTCTGACACTTAGCAAAACCTGCTAACAGACAATTGCTAATTGCTACCTCAGCAGAGGGAAGAGAAATAACTTTTTGCTGTCTCATGTGCACATTAAGGTATTGCCACAGGACAAACAGAATTCTGATTAGAAAGGACAAAGCATGTAATCTGCTAAAGGGGATCAGTAACACAAGAACAGTCGTTCAGTCAGCACATTTATCTTCTCCATGCTTTATTCAGGAAGGTTCAGCTTGTGCTGGTTACAAACACAAATGAAAAAATAATTTACATAAAAAATAAGCATACAGCAACTCCATTTCCCTGAAATGTACACCCATAGTGGATAAGGAAATCTCAAGTCAAATATACTTTATTGTCCCCCTGGACACTCTAGCCCCAAAAGGATGTACTTCCCAGCATCAAAAATTACTGATTTTGAGCTTGCTTTCCCCTTGGTCTTATATTTATTTCAGGTGACTGAGTGAGCTTTAGGTCCCAGTCCCACTCAATAACCCTTTGCAAATTAAAATTTCTTCTTGTTAGTAGTCACATAGATCTCCTTTTTTATGTTACAGGAAGATGCAGATTTTCAGCTTTGGTGCATATACCTTTTCTTTAATAAAAATTAAAAGGAAAAATATCAGAATCTTGGGAGAGGCAGCTGATTAGGACAGAAAGGGAGCAGAAAAACTGTTATGAATCTGGTAACAATTCTGCCTGCAACAGAACTGTTTAAATGAAGTTGGCTACTTCTAGTGGAAGACAGGTTCTGCTGCAGCAAGAACAGCAGGTGTAATTCTCCAGCACCCTTCCTCTGGGTCTCATTTCCCAGCTAGGTTTGACCTCCTGGTATCAATGTAATTGATATAGGGTGACTCTAACTAGGGAATAATGTGCTCTGACTCCATGATTTTAGATGGTTGAACAATGTTTTATTAAGTTATATTATATAACACTAATACTATACTAAATTACATACCAAAGAAATACTATATTATGAAGATACTAAAAAAAAAACTTGTGACTGTCTGGAGACAGTCAAGACACAGCTTTGACCCAATTGGCCAAAGAATCAAAACAGCTTTCACTGGTGTCTAATTAACAAATCATTTTAGGTAAACAATCTCTATAACACATTTTACATTTGCAAACAACAAGAGTAGTAATAGAGATGAGAATTGTTTTCTCTTCTTCTCTAAGTTTCTCACTGCCTTCCCCAGGAAAAATCCTGGGAGAGAAAATTATGTGTCTCTCTGTTCAGAGAATGTGAATACTACATCCTGTTTTTTTCCCTTCCCATATTAGCATCAACTCCACACCAGCTTCCCACTAAGGAAGGCTAAGTTTTAGGCCCTTTCTCTTTACTTCACATGAAGTCTTGTAGCAGCAGCAGCGCAGCTTTATGCATGCTGATGAAGTACTAGTTCACAATGCACACCTCACACACTCCTTTCTTTAAATTGTAAAACTTATTTTTTCTCTTACATGTTTAAATTTACAGAATTTAAGAACTCAGGGTCCTGCAGAAGGTACAACACTTGTCTCACAAAAAAAAAATCAGTCACACTGCACACCTTGAATTATGTTGCTACAATGCTGCAGGAAAAAGTTACACAATAGAAAACACAACTCCTACTCTCTGTTATCTAAACCCAGGCTGGATGCAGTCCAGCCTCCAGAAGGTATCTGCCAACATGGCTCTCAGTGTACCTTGCAAGTCTCTGATAATCCGCTGCAGCTGGCTTTCGCCACTCGTGGCTGCCATCTTGGAAACAAAAGGAACTCCCCTCCTGGGCTGGTAACCTTTTCATCCATCTAGATAAAAACTGCAGAGTTCATATCCTTGAAGACCATTGGGTTGATGATGATTATTTTTCTCTGTGACACCTGCAATTGTAAAAGTCAAAAATAAAATGGAAGTCTTTATCAGCTCAAACGAGTAGAAAAGAGATGCTTTGACATTTTAGATCCTGTTGAGTAATGCATTCCAAGGCCAACCCTTTTCCAGGAATCTCCTTAATGTTTTCTTCTAGTTTTCACTTTCCATTTCAGTTATTTCTTCAGTTATATCTTTCAAAACAACCAAGCAAACCTCAGAGAGCAATTTTCTCTGGCTGGAGTTACAACACAGTTGGTAGTACAGCTCAGCTCTGGCTGGCATTTCACTCAATCTATCTTGTGACCCTGAGGAAGGTTCCAATGACATGTGATTTTCCCTCCCCAAACTCTCTGCCAGATCTTCCCTACAGGCTGTAGAGTAAAAAAGTAAGACAAATTTTCCATTTCAGAAGGACTTTCACAGAGTAGGCACAAGCCAAGGAGTCAAAAATGATACATGCTTGATTCTCTGACACTGGAGCATATTTTAAATGTGTAAGAACTATTTAAATATTTAGTACTGGAGTATGATTTTAGCACAAGGAGCACCTCACAACCCCTTCTCAGAACCCACTGTTCCCTACACATGTAAGATGACACCACTTTATTTTAAGCTCTGTTACAGCATCCCTGGCTGGATCAACATACCTTGCACCACCTTCTTTGCTTAGGATGAGTTATACTTGGCACTCACGGAAAATCTTCCTTAAGGTAAAATTAATTAAAAGCCTCAAACAATTTAATAAAACAACCATGCCTGGGGATGTAATCTTTCCAATGCTAATCTGGGAACAATCATTCAAAAAAAAAAGCCACATAGAAACTGCATAGGGAACCTATACTAAGCATCCTATTCAAGGGTTGTTCAGAATTCTGTCTGCAGAGGTACAGCCAAAGTTTCAAGCAAAGACAACACCCAAAGTACTGAATCTTTAGAAAAATTGCTGTTACATATCAGCGCTTTTGTTATGATTCAAGCTGAACTACAATGAAATTAAGTTATAATTAAAATCTTGCAAACTTTTGAATCTAATGTGATTAGGTCACATTATTACATCTCCTTTCCCTTTCCATTCTTTCACTCCCAAAAGAGCTACATTGGCATGGCTGAAGTAAGTGTCTGAATTAATCAAACAGATCATCCTTCCTACCCTATGTATTAAGGTACTGCTAGGAAGTGATCCCAATGTGATCCTGTATTCTTTTCTGTTTGAAACAAAGCAAACATTAACAAAGTCATAGAGACTGAAGAACATCAAGTATAAAGAGAAGGCTGAAACTAGGCTTACTCCTGAGTTTCTCTGCATGCCTGCACTTTGTTACATGCTAGTTTCCATTTCCATGTTTTGATGTTAGTTGTTATGTTATGACACAAGTGTTATGTGGACAACGTGCTGTGTGGGGAAAGGCTTTTGCCTGCAAAATCCCCACCACAACCAGTTGCTTCGGGGACAGGAGACCAGAACAGCATAGACTACCTGACCTGTGGTGCCAAACACAGTTTTTTACCTTAAATCAACAATGTGACATATCCAAGATTCCTATTTCGATGCTACCCGGAGACCATACAAAGTACCACACTTCTTGGGACAGTTTGGGTACTACTGAAAAAAAGCAAGAGTAATAAACTCGGTGAGTCAATGTTTCTTTTTCTAAGCACTCACAGTAATATCAGCCTATCTGCTCAGCTTGTCAAGTGTTACAGAAAGGAGCTGAAGTGAGAAGACTCTGCCGTGTGGGCAATGAAAGACAAAAAGTGCGTCCAAACCTTTTCCTCACACAAAGAGGGAAAAGAGCAAGGACCAACAAGGGGTCCTGCCTGTGCTTCCCAAAGGACAGAATAAGCTCCCATTCAAGGCTCCAGAGACACAAAGGCTTTGGAAGAGGCATGCCAGGAAAACAGCGAGCAGATCAACTGCAGGCATCTACAGAGAGAGTAGGAAGTTGGAAATTGAGCCTTTATTTAGCAATAACCAGCAGGGAGTGGGACCCTGGGCATCCTATGGCAGCCAGGCACAGCATGGGACCTTGTCAAGTGCTAATTCCCAGCAGGGTGCACAGGCAGACATTCACTGGAAGAGGACTAAGGCTGTTCAGTTTCCCCAGCCCCATTAGCACTGCTTAAATCAGTGTGTATGCCCAGAAGCCACAAATAAGTCACTACTGGGTGCACAACAGCTCAGTGGCACAGGGCAAGAGTAGGCTCTGTGCTCCCAGTGGATTGATCTTGTTGAGCCAAAGCAGCCAAAGATACACATCTTTATTCCTGTTTGGATCTCTAGGTAGAATGTGAGAACCCTGAAAAGAAACCACAACTCAGCTGGAGGCATGAAGCTGCACAGCCCACTCCTCTTCCTACTCCCTGTCGCCTCTCAATACCTGGAGCAAGGTCTCACAGCTTCCCCCTTCCTTGCATCAGCTCCCACAGATGACACATGCATTTATCCCCTTCTCTTCCCAGAGGTGAAGACGATCTTTTGACCTGGACTATGGCATAGGGCAAATGTGCTGAAACTTCTACTTGTCTTCTCCTCTACAAAATGGGGAGAAAGGCTCTTCTCCCCTCCATGGTCCTTCCAGAGGTATTCTTAGAAAGCACAGCTCATCCCACAGAAAGGTGCGTAGCTCTCAATTCCCACGGCAAAGAAAGTTGATAATGTATCTTAACTGGTTTCTCAAGGTTTCAAAATAGGAAGAGCTTCTGTAAACACCTGATCTAGTCCTTCCTGATCACAGAACATTTTGCCCAGAATTCTTTAGCTCCTCCAGAATTCTCTGTTCCTCCAGCATTTCCAATCCTACTCTGCACACCTGTAAATACTTGCTTTGTGAAAACAGCATGATACATTCCTCAGGCATGAGTGACCTGCTGTGGGTTGAGAGCTTTTTAGATGATGCATTGTTACCTCTTATATAACAGCACTGGACTAAGGCTGATGGCATTAACTTGCCCAGAACTGCTGAGCTGCAATGACACCAGCACAGCAACACTAAGGACCTGCCACAGAGGAGGCAAGACAGGGCATGCCACCAGTCCCTCCTCACACTCCTGGGCCGTGCCTGCTGATCTCTGGAGGTGGCTCCTGCCTTCCTTGCTGGCATAAGTGCTAGTGTGGGGGTGGCAATCTTCTTTACAGAGGAGGATATCCTGGAGATTAAAGAAAGAAGCAGAAAGGAAATAGCCCACATACAAGAAAAGGAAAGATTTACCTGAAGGGGAGTGAGACACATATAAAACAGGCAACAAAGTATAATAACTATAATTAAACTGGTTAATGAAGTAGCTACAATGACCTATATTTAATCTGATTCTATAAAATTTATCTATCTTCATTTTTTACATCATGTCTGCATCTCCTGCAGCTAGCTTTTTATTTTTTTATCAATTGGTCAGTTTTAGGCAACTTTGACAGAAGGTAGCCATCTTCAAAATATTACATCTTCAAAATATTACTTCTCCATGTGCAATGAAAACAGGAAGCAGGGAGAATGTCCATGAGCAAAGTGTCTCTGCATTGTTAAAAATGCTACAGTGAGATCTCCGTTATAGCCTGATACCAGCAAATCCATTCCCCACCCAAATGTGTTTCCAGTGTGCAGTAAGAGCAGAGCTCACACTGCAGATTTGGTGTAATTCAGGTAAACAGTAAATCAGATTTGCAAAAAATATTCATTGGAAACCAAGATCCACTACTTTCTACTTCTTATGGAAATATTTCTTGCTAATATGATTACTCTGATCTAGTTGTTCCAAACAAGGACACTTCATCACATGGCCCCAGATGGTATCACAAGACCTTTAATTATTTGGTGCCCACAATCCTACACTGTTTCTAACATTCTATATGAAACAAAACAGGCAAGGGAATATACTGAGAAAAATCCTATGTTTGTAAGTCATAACTTTACCTGCATTATTTCTTTGTGTAGGGTGAACATGATATGTTCTATAAAAGCAGATACTGACCGATAACTGCAAGGCACACAGTGGAAAAGAACTCCAAACAGCCTACCTGGTCATCCAGCTGGCTACAGGACACACTGACAAAAGACACTGAATGCAAAACTTGTGGCAAAGATGAAGGAAGAGCTGGGGGAAAAAAAGTCCCTAACCCTCAAAACTGCAACAGCATTGATTTAGTTAAATAATTTCATTCCAGTATTTGTCTGAAAAAAACTACTTTGTTGTTGCAGCAAACATGGAGCCTCAGTGAAATTCACAGTAGCTGTGCTGCAGCTTTTCTTATTTTGTACCATGCAGGCACATAGAGCCACATATTCATAAAGCTGGAGAGCTATTTGCTGAAAGTAAGGATCTGAGGTATAAAAGAGACAGCGTGATTCTTCTGTCATGCACACACGTGCTTTTTATAGGGCAACTCAACCCTTTGTGCTTTAACACTGCATACAAAGATATGTGACTGGTAAAAACACACACTGGACTATATTAAATAGGAGGATTAAAAGCAAAAGGCAGGCACAGCCTGAAAGACAGCTAGGGTTTCCATTCCGAGAAGTGAAATTTTCTTTTCAAATCAATCATTCCCCTTCATTTTCTACACCAACAAAACTTCACATTTCAGTGACAACAACATGGTTTGGGAATATAAACAATTAGCAATAAAAGACATCTTGCTGAAAACACATGTCCAGAAAAACAAATTCTCAGAGGATCATAACATAGCGGAAGAGAGTAACTAGATGAAAAGCATAAAAACATTCACATTTCACAAATGCTTGGCAGAAAAGGAGCATTTTTATAGTTAAGGACTCCTTACAGTAAAGCCTTTTTGTGGGGAGGCTCTGGTGCTCTAGGAATATTTGCATTTTACAGCATAAGAACACTAACTAATAACATTAATAAAATATGGCTTGTACCCCATACCTGACAGAAGAGACTGACACAAAAGAATCAGTAAAGTTTTAAAGTTTTTAAACGTTTTTTTGTGCAATCTTCTCTATTCTATGGACAACTGACCTACATTCCATCCCTATTCCTTGTATTTGCAACCTCTTCTCAGAAAAAGATCAAAACTAGGCAACACACAAGAGAATACAGTGGCACGATAAGAACTCCATGAGACTGAGTTAATTTTTAACCTTGAGTGGACAAAGCTGGCACCCTAACAAATTTTTTTAATGCTGCACCTATCAAATTGGATCTCCACTCTAATACCTGGCTTTAAACCTTTTAAAACCTTACATTGTACTCTGCCAAACAGGACAGATGCATCAGACTAGGGACACAAATTCCTGACTTGGAGAATATTTTTTTTGCCTCTGATATTCCTTCACATCAATAACTGTTGAACAACATGAACTCAAATGACCACTTTCTGCAAACAACACCACAGGGATGACCTAGTACATATCTCACAAAGACAACCTTGTCTCAGCCCTATCTCATGATGACAGAACTTCCCTGTTTGAGGAAGCAGTCAGTTTACAAAGAGAAGAGCTCTCTTCTGATAACAGGAATTTTACAAGTATCGCTTTTAACAAACTTGTCTGCCCTTTTCCCTTAGGACACGCCACACCTTGTCCCATGTCAGGAAAGCTACACCTTGTTTACTAACATCTATCAATTACCCAACCATAACTTTCCCAGAGACTTGCTTCTCCACACTGCTCCCATCCTATTTCACTCCCCATGGGAGAAGGTACCCCTGCTGTCTCAATGCCTGTATGGTGAGCTGAGAAGACAGAATTCATTCAAAAGTGCAAAGGTTTTTTTCCCCCTTCATGCTCTCATTCTCCTAAACAATTCTCCCTGTGTCCCTCCCTGCCACAAAATCTGCTCTTTCTCTCTACAACTCACACAACCATTTAAATGCCTTACACATCCCTCAAGCCAGGCACATGACACTCAGGAGGAGCTACTCTGAGGAGCACCACATAGACACCTACAGAAACAGAAACACCAGAGGACTTCCAGCTGCAGAGGAGCATTTGGTGATTCATGAAACTCAACTTGCTCATCGTACAAGCTTGGAGATGTCAAAATCTCTTTCAAGTCTCCAAAATTGGTCACTGAGCCTTGTTCACTTCCTCAGCAAGCTTGGCCTGACTAAAGTATCTCAGCCACGTCTGAGACTTTGGGATAGTTAAAACCAACAACAATTAAATCCTGGATTTTAATGGGACCCTTCCTCAGCAGCACTTTTTACCTCTGTATCTACTGTTGCACACTGTCCCTCCAAGCTGAGGTTTCAGAAGTACTTGAAAAGGCTTCCTCCAGCTAATGGTTTTGGGAAGTCTGGCAGACGGGTGTTGAGCCTTGCCCTCTTGTAGCACCTCATGTGTCCTCCCTCCAGCCAGCAGCTCCCCAGAATAACTCCTGGCCTATATGCAGTTCCCAGGGAAATACCAACTTGCAACACTGAAAATTACAGGTTTTGACCACATATGTGGACCAAATAGAGGGTGAGGCAAGCAAAAACCAGGCTGAGACAACCCAAACTGACAGGCCACTGAGTGAGTCATGCTGCCCAGAATCAACAGAAAGAATTCTTGTTTTCCTTCCTCTGTAGCAGGAAGAATGGAGTATTTCCTCTCTCCCTCTTTTCTTGTGTTTTCCAGTGAAGGTCACCATTTTGGGGGGAAAGGGGAAATTTGAGAGTTAAAAATTCCAAAGATTTAGAAGCATTTGGAGGAGATGCCTGTATGAGACTGTCATGCTGGGTGGCTGGGAGGATAAAGGCTCACAGATGACGGAGGCTTGGCATGAGCCCAGTTATTTGGGATATCCTGATCCAACCAGTTCACTTTCGAAACATAAACTGGCTTGTAGCAGTAGCAAGACCTTTCCTGTCCTCATCCTTCTTCCCAGCAGGACTCATTCAGAGTTTAACTGTTTGTAAATATCTCCTGAGGTCACTATACCACCAATCAACACAGAATACCAATATGGGCAAAAGTATTAAGCCAAAGGAAGGGCATACAAGTCAAGGTCCCGTGCCTGCACTGAGATCCAGGCACTTTGCATAAAAAGTTCTGCTCTTTCTATCAGTGTTACAAACTGTAAAACCTTCTTCAGAATACATTTGGGCAAAGGATTTTAAATTATAACTATTAGAGAATTTTTGGACACAAGCAGCTACCCCTCCACGAACAAAATGGAATTACTACATCAAAATATGAACTAGACTAGATACAAGCTGTGTAAGTGTCCCTGCATTGGCAAAACCAAACAAATAAACACACAGTAATACAAACAAATAAATACATTAAAATGATAATGTGTAACAATAAAAACACTTAGGGTTCTTACAGTTCCCTTAAGTTTAATAATCTCAAAAACATGTAAAGAATAGTAGAAGAGTTTGACATTTATCTGACAAATAAACAATTGTTAATTTTTAAATGTGATCAACTAAGAAAAATAAATAACAATCTGTGTTAAAAAAAATCAGTATTACTTTTCCTTGAGTCTACTGCATAATTTCTGCAATTTCACAGACTACATCTTGACTAGTTTTGTCTCCCTAGTTGTTTCTTTAGGTCTCCATCATGCACCAAACAAGAGGAACCTAGCCTCCAGGATATTAGGACAAATTCCTATTCTTTTACGTAACCCTCTAGCAGTGGAGAGAGGGACTGCAAACATAATACACTCTTTCACTGTTATCAAATGGTGTACATAAGAGACTCCTTCATACATGAAAATCAGGCTCCATAACTAACAGGTTCTTGTGAAGTAGTAGTGAAACCAGGTTTATAACAAATGCTGTCAGATATATATACTACAGATATTACATATGTACACTACAACAAGCAGAGAAAAATTGACTATCAGTTGTTTAGCACCACAGTATCTTAAGACACAACTTTTTAACTGCAGCACAGTCTCCTAAATGTGAATGTTGGGAAACACTATTTGGAATGTCTAGAACATTTTTTAAATTCAAGCACTCCCACGAGGATCATTGGAAGACTCCAAGAAACTGCCTTGCACACCATAAAATCTGGAAAACATAAAACACACTACTGCATGGCCGTAAGAGAGAACATGTTGCCATGCTACTGACCAGATAGAGAACATGTTTTACCCTGTAAGTTTCACCCTGGCTTGCCTTCATGAGCATACAAAGTCAGAGCTGGATAAAATCATCCACTTTCACTCTTCAGCATTAAAGAAACAAAGGCCTGGTACTTCTCCCTCTGTTCAACTTCAAATTTAAAACTTCAAGCTTGGTTTCAAGTGACAGGCAAAACCAGGAGAGTGAAGTCTACAGCTGACCAACTTTGTGTGCCAAACCAACCTTGCAAAAGTCAGCAGCAGGCTGGATGCAGTGACCCGGACAGAAAACGGGGCCCTGTGCTGGGGCAGCTGCAGCATCAGGGGATTCACCAGCTTCCAGAACACGGCACAGCCCCTCCACAGCCCGACTCACCACCGCAGCACCTCTGCCCGAGTGGAATCCCGTGTCCAAAGGCAGCAGACAACCATTTCACTAAAACCTTGGGTTTTTTTCCTTCTCCTTGCTCACTCTGGATTACCAGGATCAACATAAGCCGGAGGAGGAGGGCCGGCTGCAAACCCGGCATCTGCTCTGGAGACAGCCCCAGCTGCTCCGTGTGCCAGCAAAACCCTCTCCCTATCCATCCGCCGCAGATTTGCCGACACAAGGGCAAAGTGGGATTAGGGCCGCAGCAAATATTTGCCTGTCAGCACTTTACACTGGGGTGAGGGCACGGACGCGGGCGGGTGTTTGGTTTCCAGCAGGGTGACTCCGCTCCCCCTGCAGCTGCAGGAGGGCAGAAAACAGAGGGCAGTGCTGATGTCGGCCTAAAGTCAGCGCTCACCGCGGGACATGATGACACTTCAGGGGACTGGGTCTAGGTGGTGGCCCTGAGGGACGGGGACCCCCCGTTCCCGGGGGCTCCCAGGCGATGCCAGCCAGCACCCAGCCCACCCCGGGCTGAAGTGCCCCCGCCATGCCCGCGCTCACTCCGCCGCTGAGCCGACCCGGGCCCCCCCTAAAGCGTCCGGCAACTCTCGCCCCGCCGGGGCTCCTCCCCTCGAAGCCGAGCTCGGCGAAGCAACAAGTGGAAGCCGCCGAAGTCACTTCCCCCTCAGCCCGCCAGCTCCCTCCGCCCGCCACCGCCTCCCCGCCCCCGGCCCCGCCGCGCTCCCTCGGGGGTGTGCGGGAGGAGTCGCTCGGTACCTGCGCGGCCGCCGCCGCCATGTCGCGCAGAGGCGGCCCGGGGTGAGACTCCGGCGCTCCCCGCCCGACTACAACTCCCGTGAGGCCGCGGAGGGGCCGCCCCACAGCCGGGGCGGTGTCTGGCTGCGGCGCCGGGGGTGCCCGGAGGTGGCGGAGACAGAGCGCCGCGGGGCGAGCTGAGGGGTTTGGAGCGGCTTTGGGGGAGAAATCGTCGCTTTCGGCTACAGCTGCAGCTTTGGGGTGGTTTCCTTTCGGGGAGGCTGGTGTTTCTGGTGGCCTCACGCAAGGTCGCTCTTTACAGAATCACAGAGTCCTTAGGGTTGGGTTGGACTCTGGAGACTCCTGGTCCAACCCCCTGCCAAGGCAGAGTCACCGAGTCACCTCCAGCAGGTGACACAGGAACGCGTCCAGGTGGGTTTGGAATGTCTCCAGAGAGGGAGACTCCATGGCCTCCCTGGGCAGCCTGTTCAGTGCTCTGCCACTCTCAGTGTGAAGTTCTCTCTCACGCTGAGGTGAAACTTCCCCATGTTTAGACTTATTGGCCATTGCTCCTTGGCCTGTTGCTGGGCACCACGGAGGAAAAAAATAAAACTTAATAAATTTTTGTTGTTTGTTTTAATACATTTTAATATAGTACTGACTTGCTTTTACAACTATTCTGTATCTGTATGGGGTACATACAGATACAGAATAGTATCTGGGGTTTTTTTTAATGGGGTTTTTTTTCCTCATTTGCACATCAGTTCATCAAGCTCTTTGCACGGAATACTTGAGGTAAATGTGAAAGTCAGGCATGATAAATCTGGTATGCAGCACATTTCCCCTCTCTGCTCTTGCTAGTTGATGAAAGAAAAATCCTCATCCCTGAACTGAAGGGATGAAAGGACATAGTCTCAAGCTGTGCCAGGGGAAGTTTAGTTTGGACATTAGGAGGAATTTCTTCACAGAAAGGGTGATTAGACATTGGAGTGGACTGCTCAAGGAGGTCGATGAGTCACCATCCCTGGAGGTATTAAAGGAAAGACTGAACATGGCACTCAGTGCCATGGTCTGGTTGACAGGGTGGTGTTTGTTTGTCATGGGTTGGACTTGATCTCAGAGGTCTTACCTAACCTAATTGATTCTGTGACTCTGTGGAAGATGTAGGGAGAGATTACTATGTCCACATAAAATCAGAGACTGGCTGAAAGCAGATGTGAAACTGGAACAAGAGGTTGCTTCCTGAGACAGGGTGTGGGGAGTACAGGGGCACGGGTCTCCTAACACTCCCAGCTCCAGGCTCCTACAAGCAGGCTGTTTCCTCTTTTCAGATTTTATCCCTCCCACAATGCAAAGGATTCTCTGAAAGGACATTTCTTTCCCAGTGCCTGAAATAGGCTACTCTTGTTTTGCACTTGAAGTGTGAACTTGAAAAACTTCCTTTGCTTTTTTTCCCACATTGCTTTGGTAAACAAAAGATTTTAAATTAAACTTGTGAGCAAGCAGTTTGTCATCAGTTCTTGCCATGCTTGTGACTTTCTTAGCATCATAAACATCAGCTTAAGCTGAAGATCAAAGCATCGAATTTTCAAGAGTCTTGAGGAAATATGTGTAGTATGTGGTCACTGACATGTCCTCATCATCCTTCATACATAAGAATGACTAAGTGACCTTAGGTTTTGATGATTAATCTTCATCTAATGTATGTTTTTTGAATAGCTCAAAAGCATTTTAGTGCCCTCAGAAATGCAGGTTATATGCCTTTGGGATGCATGGGATGCAGTGGGATGTCTTACACCGTTTGGAAGCAACCCTCAGGCTTACTTTTCTTGGCACACTTTGCTGAATCATGCCGCAGTCCCAGGAGCATCTGCTGAAAATGAGTGTTTTCCATTGATCTCTAGGCAACTGGGTGTCTTCCAAAAGTAATTTCAGGGTCATCAGACACAAATAATGGTAAATCAAATCCCATAGAATTTCACTGCAATGGATTTTATTTTACAAATTTTCAAAAATTCTGTGTGGAATTCTACTTTTCATTTGAAAATAATCAATTAGAATGGATTGTTCCTCTTTTTAATTATGTAGTAACAAGCTACTTTCAGAAATATTTAATTATTGAAGTATTGCCTGTTTATGTATTCATCAAGTTCTTCAGACAAAAACATGCTGTTTCCAACTAGATCCATAGCTGACCAACACTTCCTTAGAATTTTCCATATTTCATAGCAATAGAAGATGTTAGAGATCTTTCCTTTTTGGAAGCTGCACTAGAAAAAACCCACATTGTCTGCTCAACATGTGTTGCTTTCCTGTATGTTTACTCTGATAAAATTTATTGATTAACTTCTTCATAAACCATGATGGGCTAGATGGGAATTATTTTCAGTTTTACTAGCTAGGAAAGGCAATGTCAGTCATGCCCCCAAAAGGAAAGCCTTTGCTGGGAAAAGTTTTTTCACTGGGTGATAGAGAGAGAGTCAACTCAATCAACTAAAACAACTAAATTGCTGCTTAGTGGTCTTCTGTGCACTACAGATGAGTGTTTTATGATGGTCTCTGAGTATGTGTCCATAGAAGGTGTTCCTTCCATTTGTCTGACATTATTTTTATATGTGCTACATGTTTTCTTTAAGTTTTTTTGCAAGAGTTAATTGATGTTCTATAATGACAGAAGGGCTTTGCTTCCACTAGCACTTGAGGTATTTTATGAGAGTAGTTAACTCCAGTTCCCCTGGTCACCCTCAATGGATTAACATACCATTGTAGCTAGACTGAACAACAGGCTGCTGTTCATCATCAGAAACTTTCTGTGACTGTGGGGAGAAAGCTTTGGAAGCACTTTTTGCATTTGTTTGCATGCTGTTTTGAATAGGTGGACAAATAATTGTCATTAGGTATAAAGCTGGGAGCAGGCGACATAAAAAGAACCAGCAAAGCTCTAGAAAACATCTAGAAGCAAATATGGCATTTTAGACAATGTGGCTGAGGAGCTTGGAAGAATATTCCACTAAATACCAGGTCAGAGACTGACATCCACCAGAGAACATCAGGTTTAGGAACTGCCACTAATCAGAACGGGCTGCATTTCACTCCTGGGTGGACAAAGTAGGTACCAAGTATTTTATCTGGTTTGGTGCTGGTTCAACTGCACCAACAACAATGTGGGAGAACCAAGACATAGACTTGACTGTGCAGTTTAAATGAAACAGAGTCTTTTATATACATCTATATGGGTGGCACAGGGATAAAGAACTTTTTTTTCTTTCTTTCTTTTTTTTTTTTTTTTTTCTTCTCTTTGTTGGAGGAAAGCAGTGTTGTTTGGAGGAATGAAACAAACTCAAATATGTTTTGGTTTTGTTACCTGAGCAGTTTCTGAATATGGAGAGAGTACACCACTCCTCACACTTTTCTTGGTCCTTCTCAGTATTTTGCTTCTGTGGAACAAGGGCATTTTCAGCCGCAGAGTAATCATAAGGAGAAGATAAAGTAGAATTTTATTTATGATTGCAATAAACTCAATATTTCAAAACATTGAGAATATGAAGGTTTCCTTACTCTCAGTGAAAACACTTGTGGCAGTAAAGTACAAGGCTGTGCTTTCCCAAAATTGCACACCTTTATGCATCTAATTCTTGCTCTGATTATGATCAGAAGCAAAATTTTCATTGATTTTAGTGGAAACAGGATGTTTCCTTAAACATGGGGTTAGGGGTCAGCTTTGCCAGGAAAGATCTTGGATTTCGAGTGGACAAAAAGTTGAACACAGCACAGGCATGTGGCCCTGTAGCAGTGAGGACTAACTGTTTATGGGCCTGTGCTGCCATCAGGCTGAGGGAAACCTTTATTCCGCTCTGTCTGACATTCTCGTGGTCACTGACAATATCTCAGTACTGCAGGTCTCGTGATCTGCAGTGCAGTATCTAGTTTTGGGGCCACCAATGTAAGGAAGGGACACTGACTGATTGAAGCCAGCCCAATAAAGGATCACCAAGATGGACAGGGAGTTGGAGCACATGATGTATGAGGACACTAAATTGGCTGGGATATGTTTAGCCCCAGGAAAAAATGAGGTTTAGGGGAGATCTGATGGCTCTTTTCCATTTTCTAATGTGAAGACACAGAGATGGCAAGGAAAAAGCAACATCACCAGGTTGCAGCAAAAGAAATTTTGTTTGTGTGGAAGCAAATACATCCACCATAAGAGTCATTAAGCGTTGCAACAAGGACTCAGAGGACTTGGAGTCCCCGTTCTTGCAGATTATCAGTTTGTCCAGATAAAGCCCTGAGTGACCTTGTCTGATCAGGCAGATAAAACTTCTGTGAGCAGCACGGAGCAGTGGATCACCTCCAGAAGTCTCTTCCATGCTAAGTTAACCTATGACAATTTACAATTATTTCTTCAATTGAAAATACCTTAATAGGTGGTTATCAGAGGCTGAGAACAATAGTCACAGGGTAGAATTCCATTGGATTTCTGAATGTTTATTAGTAGTACTACTTCATTATATCTGGAGGCAGCATATCTATGTTCGGAGTTACTTTGGTTATGGCAGCAATACATTTGGGTAATATCAAGAATTCTTTTTACATACTCAGATACACAGTAACAAAATAACAAAATATGCTGAAGTTACAAGCAGATTTAAATAATTTGCTAAAAACTGGGCAGAATAGGATTATTTCGGACTTTGTACTTCTATTATAATTCTCA